AAAAAAAAAAGAAAAGAAAAGAAAACGGCCAAAAAGCGAGAGAGAGAAAGAAAATAAAATCAAATTGAATAAATAAAAAAAAAATAAAATAAAATAAAAATACTCGTCAAAATGGACTATTTCTACAATGAAAAACGGATACCTTGCTACGTAGGAGCTGCCTACTTCGTAACTAGATCACGTAGACCAATAGGTCAGGAAATATTAATACTACCACGACTGGTTCTTTGGGTCGCCGTCTCGCCGGTCCGTCCGGGAGGCAAAAAAAATAAATAAATAAATAAAAAATCCCCCAGAGAACAAATTAAAAAGGAAACGGTTGGGTCAAGCGCGTCAAAATACACGAGATGCAGGGTGGGAGTTCCACGGCTGGCGGAAAGCGGAAAGGCGGGAAGATTCGCAGATGAAGATCTCAAGGGATTGTAACAGGGCAATTCCTTGGGTCTACTGGGTCTATGGATATGCTAGAACCTGTAAATTTGAATGTTGTCGTCCTATGGGATTTCCTCATTCTTCGAGGTACCGCGGACAATTCACTAGCCATTATTCAGGTAGAGAGACGATTGCTATTGGTGTAAGTGAAGAAAATAATAATAATACATAATAATGACCACGCGGGTAATTAATTATCGTACTGAACTAATTCCCAGATTCCATCGGTAGGCGATGACCGGGCAGAGGGGGATTGGTTGATACGGTTGGGAAAGATGGGGCAATGGACGTTGTGGGCATTATCATCAGCGTCAGCACCAGCTGGGCACTGGAGGAGTATAAATGTAAAGAACGGAAGGGAAAAGAAAAAGAAAGACAAAAAAAAGAACAATGTATACGAATAATATTCATGGATTGAGTTGGTAAAAAAAGAAATTACAGTAGTGGTCATAAAAAAGAAACGCCGTCGAAGAACGGTCCGCGGACAGGGTGGGCCCCTTCCAACACGCCAGCGACCCATAGACATGGACGGGGACTCTCTAAGACGCAGCTAAAGCATTCATGGTTCCATGGAGATCACCTGAATCGCTGTAAGCCCTTCGGGTTGGGCGTCTAACAGACCCCGGCGACCACCCCAGCAGCGACTACTGTAGAGTCTAGAGCCTAAAGAGGGGCGTAAGTTTGCGAGTGACGACTGATGACGGATGAAGGGTACTCCGGGACGGGTAAAGGCGCCGTGACGGAACTCCACCGACCGCTTCAATTCCTTCCGTCTCCAGTTTGGGCCTCTCTCACTTTTTCTGTCTTTTTTTTTCCTGGCGACTTACATGGGTGATTTGAGTTACTTGTCCGAAAATGGTTTTGGTATTCGAGTAGTAATATTACTCGACCACCTAAGATGAATACAAACATACATCGTGACCTATTTTAATTCGTCATCCTATCAGAAACTTGATCCAGAGCTCGGTTTGGGTGATAAGAGGATAATTCTTATTTTAAGCGTGGTTTCACACCTCTCGTTTTCCATTTTTATCTAAAACAAAATGTAATAATTGAACGAAGATATACACAGTAAGTAGAGACCAGCTTCAAGGTGTTTCATCTGACCATGGCTGAACGGCCTCAGACTATCCCTTTTCAGGATCTAAACCGGTGCCCTGTGCTCCTAGATAGGAACTACTTGCAGTAATTTACGCCTCAAATGTGAGACTGCCATGCGTAGTAGTAATCCATCCTGACTCGCAGCGAGATAGGCCCCTTTGATATCTACTTGGCGCCGAAGGGAATCGATATACAGATGAATTCCTTCCAGGGCCCTCAATGGGCCGTTGAGGGGAAAAAAGATAGATCGAGGCCCTACAGCATAGATTCGTAATATCATCCAGAAGTACATCCATCTACGAGTGAAATCATTATCCAGATAGGGGAAAGGGTCGGCCTGGCATACATACATACATACTACATACATACATGCTGGGCCCACCCGGGTAATGCCCGAATCCCTAAAGAGGGGCTGACGGCCCGTGGATGGCAACGAATGATCGTTTAAAGTGAACCAATTGCGGCCTGCAGAAGATTAATCATCCAGCCCTCTTACAGTATCAATCCTCAGTCCATTGGGAAACTTACCTCAGGTTATACTACTTCCTAACGGAGTGTTCCCGGGCTGGGCATCCACCAAATGTGAAATATCTATCTCGTCAGGATAGTACATGGATTTTAAAGAAGAATGTTGGGAATCATATGAAAATTTGACTGGCTTTGAACTATTTCGTGTCCCTTTGTCCTCACATTCTAATGGGTACCGGGCTCATGTCCTTGGGACGCACTAGTGATTAAGGGTACCAGGTTTCTCGTGGACTATGGAGTACTCGAGGAGTTCCTCTTTTTTGTAAAAGAAAATTTTTTTTAATTAGTTTATCTGTTGGGATGCTCCAGCCGTGCGGGCAAACTAGGACACATGGCTGAGCCTACATAAATTGACCTGTGAACCATGGTTGATGGTTTGACTAGTGTACCAGTATTCGGACCAGCGTTTGCACTTTTTTCCCTTTTTTTCCCCTGGGACTTTTCGAAATAATCACTAGACTGGTATTTGTTCAGGAATTAGTCCGAGAAATTATAATGATGGATTTGTTAATTATGATAGTCATGCTTTTTGTTCAATGGTGTTTACTCCTTGCATTGAATCGGATGACCAAGTGTGTGGCAGACATTCTTAACCACCCACCAGCCCTACCGTGTGGGCACAGCAGGTACGAGGTTCTCAGATCTTAACAAGGTCATGGTCTAGCATCACTAGGTCTAGCTATGCGAGGACTACGATAACCCTTACTTTTTGACCTCGGCCACCTGATCTCTTGTAACAAGTATCCTGCCATCTTGGTAGGTAACTGTACGTATGTATATACATACGGCTAGCCGGTTCTGTTTATACTCTGTATGCGCCTCGCAGTAGTGCCCGCGGGTATGCAGCGGCTTCTCTGCCGTGACCGGCTCGAGAAATCGTACAGGGTACTTCCTTCAATCAGGCATAAGGAATCGGGGATAGGGATGTCACCCAGTAAACATCTGTATGGCTGATTGGTGAGTAGTTCTGCATGGTAAGTTCTTACCCCAGTTGTCACCACTGATCAACCCCTTGTATCCTTGCCCGGCAACCCGCATGCCTCTTATCTCCCTGAAGAACCGGAACCTAGATCAGTCACTCACCATGCAAGCCGCGCTGGGCCCTACCCACGAGTTGTCTAGCAACCTGTATCAGAATAATAGTTGTACCCTGCACAGTACTTTGACTCCCTTGCATCCGGGGATCACTCGCGAACGGCCCAGCCCGCCCACAAGGGCAACGGCCCATGGTACTACCCGCAATCTTGTCATCATAGCACCGAGATTAGTGTTGCAATGCATAGGAATGCCCCATAAATCCTGACTTTTCTCCTTTTGCGCACCGCGTGATCTCTTGGGAGTATCCAGTTGCATCAGTCTCCGAAGTACACAAATTCCAAATATCTAGTTGCAGAAAGGGATACACATTCTATTGCAACACAATTTTCCCACTCGCACATGCGGCTGTACCTTGCTTCCGTTCAAGAAGGGACAAAGAACAGTCATGACAAACTTATTCATCAGGGAGACACAATCTATCCGAGTAGTTTTGGGTAACAAAGGAACTAAATTTTAGTAGATATGACAAGCGGTTTTGTCGTATTTGGACTGTCTTAAAAATGTTCAGGCCAAGTTGAGTCTCGTTGCCTCGGAAGGGTCGCTGTACTGAACTTGTCGGTAAGGTGTACAGTAACGCACTAGCTACACCGATTATCACCGACCAGTGTGATCTATACAATCCTGCGTAGACCGGAAGAAATGTAGCATGCAGTGGGTGCACGCAGGTATGTCGTCATTTCTCACTCAAAGGCCAAAGGAACGTTAGTTAGGATTCGTGGGTAACCGCTCCGAGCGCGGAAAGGACCCAAGATTCCTTACTTAGCATCCATACCGAAAAGGATCAACCCTGCAAGATGCCAGGGGACAGCATGTATTATCTTGTGAGCACCCTGGAACCTGTATAGACTATAGACCACTTCTGTTTCGTCGAGGAATCGATAGGGCGCAACATTCACAAGAAATCAACTGACCCCGCAATCTAGCCTTGATTGGTGCTAGGATGACTCGTAAGGATATGTTAAGTTAAGCGACAGCCCTCCTATTGGTTGATAGGCTTCCCCGTGAGCCGCTTCCTCTTTTCTGGTTGGCCCCAGCAGGGAAAGGAGCGCTCCGAACCGTAGTCGCACAAGTGCTGACTAGTACTAACTATGGAACCATGCGGCGGTGAATCCATGGTTCTGTAATTCGGGCGACGCTCGGTTTCCATGCGGTGAGCAGCGGTTTCTGGAGGCTCGGTCATGGTATGCTATTGGTTCGGCCCGCCCGCCCTTCAAAATTGACCCATGGATCTGGGTATGAGAAGTAGGTACAAAAATTGGGAGGTGGGAACTCATTCATAAATGTACACATAATTGGAATTAAAGTGGCGATGAAGAAGTTTTCTATTTTGTAGGAGGGTGGGGTTTATTGTAAGAAGGATGTCTGTAAAACTTTTCGTGATGTGGAGTCTGCGAAAAGAGTGTTGTAATTTCTGGGCGGTGAGTGCCTGTTCTCAGCCCCAAAATGTGAAATATTGAATCCCGTGTGCTGGTCGTTTACCTAATTTAGTAAATGGTTCAGCTGAGGATAGATCCCAGATGTGGTAAGGTTGATATATCTCGTAACTTGTTTTGCCTTACCAGATCGGTTGTTTGCTCGGGAAATTTTTGTTTTGGCTTGGGAGTGTATTAATTACACCCAAGGTATGTACTGTACAGTATGTACTTGGGTAGTAATAGGTACCGACTCAGTGAAGCCCGTTCAAGCTGTCTTCCTAGGTGCGTCCACAGGCACAAGTCACTGGATGACCGACTTGAAATCGTTATCAGGTGGTAATTGGCTCCTCATCAACACGAACCTATAACTATGAGGATAGCGTACTCCTTCTGGAATTAAAAAGAGAGGGGGGTTGTGAGGGGGGTGCAGTGGAGAACCCTAAGTTTCCCGGTGCTACAGCCCTGGGACCGCGCCAGGAAAGCATTATCATGGCCCGATCGGTGGCACTTCAAGGGAAGGTGCATTAGCGCAGCTTGGCCAAGTCGTCTCGAGCGAGAAACGGCCTGTCAACGCGTGTCGGAAGAAATTGACGGTGTCCAAGAACCAGGATTCGTTTGCGGGGTCTGCTGACATGTCTGCCAATCAACCCGCTGCGAAGCTGCCCGGTATCCTTGCAAAGTGCGTAATATGTTTTGTTTGGAGGAAATACTTTTTTAACGGAAACCCCACTGGCACATGGGAAAGAACATGGAAACTAATGATTAGTCCTCCATGGTTAGAGCCTGGCGGAAGTTAACAAGAACCCGCATGCCGCTCTGATTTGTTGTTGAGCAATCACAGCCATGATCCGACACGCACCGAAGAGAAACAAGTCTAATTCCTGCAGGCTAATCACATTTGCCAGGCTGCCAAACCTTCTTTAACCCCACTCAATCCTTTCTCTAGAGCAGTGATGGTGATGGTTGTTCTTACGGAAGATGTAGGTAAGGTGCTCATGGAGATCAAGAAGCATGACATCAATCGTGTGACTCAGGCCGGTTTAGATAACATGAGCGACCATCAAGTCATCGCTCTTACCTCACTTTTTTCGCCTTAAATTTTTTTTTTTAAAAAAAAAAAAAAAACATTTGCCTTTCTGTTACAGTTGTAATGCATGGGATGGTTCAGGTTGCCCAGCGATTAGGTAGATCGTATTTCCTGTTTCATGATAGGGAAATCTCAATACATGTTTGATACAAGACCGTCCGCCGAAGGAACCAAGATATGTAAGACTCCCAAAGAAGAAAGAGAGAGGAAAAAGAAAAAAAAAAAAAAAAAGAAGGGAAGCAGCCATCCTGATACCTTCTGAACACGGCCAGATAAGAATAGAATCAGCGTCGGAAGTCGACGGTCGCAAACGGAAACCAACCAGGATGGGGTGTGATCTGAATGCAGGTGCTTCAAATGCAGGTGCTTCAGGGCTGGTGTCAGGGCGTTGGGCAACCACCACTCCTCAGTCGCTAGTCGTCTCCTGGGCATGTCCACGACGGCCCGCCCCGACTCCCGCCGATCTCATGCATAAAGCGTAGTTTGGCATGCTATCAAAAGAGTAGTCATATCAATGTTGGTGACGACAGTAATGTCACCTTTTGTTCAAGTTGCATAATCTAGTCATCCCGACGGGAAAGTCTTATGGCTGGCTGTTATCTGGCCTTGAACTAAGAGGCCCGATCGCCTACGACATGAGCCTCATTCTAACGTGTACTAACCCGTCCATTCCTCCGAACCTCCACCGACGGCCTGCCTGTGTCACAAGGCTCCCTTTTCTCTTTGTTTAGCCAAATGTGTTTCAGCAGGTTTCTGCTCAAGCAAAGCGAGTTCAATGATTTCATACTCCAACTGATTACCTTCAACATCGATGACGCCACCAGTCATATCGTCACTCTGAACCGGGCTGCAGAGGGTCGAGTGTAACCCCAAGGTGACAACGTCTACCCATGTTGACAACAGTGCGACTCAGTAAGCCGCTGCATGCAGAATTGCACTTTCATGCAGCTTGTTCCACACGGTTGACAGTCACCATCAGCCTCACTTTGTCATAGCCTTACCAGTATCGGAGATAGATTAATATGATGGTTTTCCATCTTTGTTCAGATTAGCTTGAAAGAAATCTTTGGTATCGTACGGACAGAAACCGAAACCGTACATGCGCACCATGTATTACCGTGACGGTAAATTACACGCAATAATTCCGCATTCTCTTCTCTCCAACTCGCCTTATCCTGGTCGATTAATTGCCCTCCTTTGCCACGTTTTCCCCCTCTGATCCTATCGGCTGCTTGCACTTCCGCCCGCGGCTTTCCGTTGACACCAGAACCCACATCGTAGAGGATTGCAGGGTTTTAATTTTGGTATAGTCCTCGGTATCTCCCGTTAATTTGTCTTGGCCGCTGAGTTTGAAGGATGACGGAGTTAAGCGCAAGGTCCGGGATTGTAGGTTCCATATGCCGTCCGGAGGCTAATCCTGAGCCACCGTACCGTTGCCAACGTACATTCCGTCCTACCCGTGTGGTATGGGATTTCAAAGGAACGAGATAACAATGGATAGTTGGAACTGCTTTAGTTAGGTTTCCGCTGGTGTCCAATATGCTGACCAAGCGGAAACGGTTAACAACAAGTGGTATAGCGTTGGCGGAGAAAAAGAAAAAGAATCATGCGGCCTGTCACTGATCATCGATCAGCCCGCATACACTTCCAGTCACGTGATTACGACTGGCCTATGAGGACGAAGAACCTCCCAGACTATCTGTACTTTATCTGTCGCTTTTGGCGGGCGTGGCACGCGTGGAAACACTTGGTGATAGGCTAGTGGCGGATAAACAGGACACTAACCCCCCTGGTTTAGTTTGGTGGCTTGGTTGGAGAGGGAGCGCCAAAAAAAAAGGGGGGAAAGAAAAAGGAAAAGGACAAGGAAAAGGAAAAAAGGAACTCCAACCACGCTTGTCCGTGCTCGCTCGGGTACTAGGGCGTGTATGTGTATCTGCGTGTGCGCAAGCGCCGTCTTTCTCAAATGACGTGGCGTAACGAGGAGCAAAACATTGTCAGATAGTCCTGTTGGCTTGCTTATTCAACCTGGTTTCATCTCCCGATTTGGTAGGACTAGGAGCATCGGTGCCGGTTGTACCTCGACTTCCCACATCTCGAGTGGCAGTTCCTGTTGTCTTGTTCGAGTCATGCCCCTAGCCAATGCTGTGGACTGGCACTATAATGTGATGACCCAGCATATGAGCGTGACACGCTGTACGTGGAATTCTGTTGTACATCGACCTCTTCTGTCCTTTTTTTTTTGTCGCGTGACGCGTTAAAAGGTTAGGTTTGGTGGATGCCTAACTTTATAGGGATGTCCCGTAATCAGTTGACTGTTGCTTCTTCCAGTCGCAAGAAACAAAAGTGGCGAGAAAATAATATAATAACCCCAAGTGGTGCATGAGTGTTAGTATTAACGGTAGCCCACTACCCTAGGTAAGTAATCAGTGCGATTAATTAGGTCGTTCCATGATCAACTCTCCCCACAAACTGGCGATCCGGAAATTTTGAACCTGGGAGTTAGTCAACTCTAAATAACGGGGCCAAGCTACACAAGTGAGGAGGGATAGTGCAAACGAGGAAACAGGGCCATCGGACAACCTTGCACATAAAAGGTAAATTGGCCGTTCATCTGTCGACAAGATGCAAAACATGAAATGGGGGTATATCTTCAAGCCTGGCATTGAGCAAATAGTGACTTTCTAACTCGCCGCAAAGGGCATGGATGTATCACATTTGCTCAATCGTATGCCCGTATTGCGGCCGAAACTCATCTGATGTCGGTAGTAAATTGAGTGCTGTTGTTGGGTGGAAAGGGATGACCTAATATACAAGATAAACCTTGTCCTTGAATAGTACTTGCTTAGCAAATAATAGCGTGCAGCGTTGTTACTTTGAATTATCACAGCTGCTACTGGCCCGTTAAATGTATACCTCCCTACTACATCCATTATCGATATGCACTATATTCAGACTCTGTCACTATATAAATGTACATCCACTTGCAAATACTCGCTAATTTACTGCAGAGCGAGTATATGCGTATTCTATTTACACTATAAAGGTTCCTTTTCGTCTGGATGTAACGTTACCAGAGTGATGTACTAATGGAGGTAGATCGATGTATCATGTCGAGTGATGGCATACTCTAAGTATCATACTCTGAGTATACATCTAAGCACAAATTTCGGATGTACGAGGCCGGTACCTGTCCTGTGTACAGTATACTGCCTTAGAGTTCCTACGTACTTTCGCTGTCTAGTTAGTACCACACACAGACACATAAACCTTGTTTTTGGGCCCGATTCTAAGACCTTCCTGAATGATATGAGGGCAGGTATGTTTTATGTGGAGCGTCAGTGGATGTAAACAAGCTCAAGTGTAATTCTAAATCATTTTATGACACATACCCTAGCTTCGTGGTGAGATAACAAAGAGGATTAATTACGCGCATTCCTTGCTCGTATAATTTCCCAGTCCACCAGAGCACTGCGAAAAGGGAATTGAAGGCTGGCCTCTTAGTTGACAGAGAAGACAATGATCGTCCCTGGTCCCAAATAAGGAAATTCGGGGGGCGTGGATGAGCGTGTCTACTGAACGGAAACTTCCGCTAGGACCTTGCTGAGTCAAATCATCATTGATCATTGACTCGCACAGAGTTCATGGCTTGCATGGACTCTAGCCAGACGAGGACAGCTGTACAGTGTGCATGCCCGTTAGGTAATTCTCTGTCAAGGAGTCTTCGTTCAGAGCAGTGCAGCCAAGAGGGGACACAAGTCAGAACGAAAATCGGCTTGGCCCCGAAGATGACAGAATGGTTTGTAACAAAAACAATCCCCACTCTGCACTGGTAAGACAGAGTGGAACGATGTTTGGGCATTGATGCAGAGGTGAAGACTGTTCTACGGGACGAGGGACGCATGGACGCTTGAGGGCCATGGGCGAATTTGCATGCGTGCAGGAGTGGATATCATAGGAAGGACAGCGCCTGGGGCTAACGGCACGTCCGACGGGCCGGACTGCGGCACTCGGCCAGCAGGACAGCAGGCCATAAGAATATGCACGTCAATATTGTGAAGGACTAGAAACTCATGACCCTGTTGAGTTGATGAGCAATTGACACGAAAGGGGCCATAATTGGGGGACGAGAAGTAGCGGTAAAGAAACTCCGAGACTAGGTATGTACATCTCCTTAGCCCAGCCTGGTAAAAGGTATTGTATGAAATCTACAGGAAACCTAGCCAAAGAGGAGAAACGATGGCCCATTTTCGCCCACAGACTAGTTTATGAAAGAGCCTCCCGAGGCGAAGTCATTGGTAACAAAGAGCCAACGGCTCGTCAGCTTCCAGCCTCCCTGAGAAAAATGGTTTCAAACCAAAGTCCAAATATATCAGAGCATGTAAACTCTCAGCCAACTAGTATATCCAAATAAAAAAAAACATCCCTACACAAAAGAAAGAGAGAGATAAAAAAAATATAAATGAAACGAAAATAAAAATAAAAGAAAAGGAAAAGAGCGCGGGCAAGGAAGAGACAGAGGGTGAAAACAACCAAGAAAGTTACCCCACATAGTCTTCAAAGATACACATCTACATAGCATGCTATCATTCATCACAAGAAGATATCTGCTTTAGTTTGTAGATTCCGGTTCGGAACTGGTATCCAAATCCACAGGATCGGGCATGACGACGCTGTTGAGGTACGTAACCTATCAAGTGATGACACCACTTGTCAGTAAAAAGTATTCCACAAAACAAATGACCCCTGCCATTCTCCAGCATAATTGATTGAATGGTGGGTATCATTGTGCCCGAGGCTACACCGCTGAAGTGGCTGGAGAAGACGAAGACGGGAACGGGGCGAAAAAGATCCGTATTTGATACCGGTGCCAGGATCCAATGGACGTAGATGCGGGCAAGCAAAGAGGGAAAGCCAAACGACGGCTACACAACAAGGGGCGTTGGGATGGATTGGCTTACGAAAGGTTCCATGATACCAATAAGAGCGGTGATTTTGTCCTGTGCCTTGGGACTCATAAGCTCTTCGTCGGCTAGAGGCCTCCCGATGGTGAAACTGCGTAAGCGGAGCAATTGAATGTTTTCATTGTCCAAGTCGTAGCCCTGGGTAAGGAAAATAATTTGTTAGCATTGTAATTGGACGACGCCGAAGACCCGCCGGGTTAAAGCTGATAGTGAACCATGGAAACTGAAGAGACGGTGCAGAAAACTTTTCCAGTCCAAAACACGCAGTGGGACGCCAGAGGAATTTCCATGCTAGACCGAAGAATAGTAGTAAGGACGTTTGAACCAGCAGGAAACAGGAAAGGCCCCAGGGGCTTGTGGGAAAAAGGGTGCGACCCGGACGGGTAGACCAGTCGGGATCGCCCGTCCGCGCTTGCTGCGCTTGCAACTCATCAACATTGGTCTCCAGACCTGCTATCGTCGGAGGCTGTTGACGCCCACAGAGTCATGAGTCCTTCGGAGAATCGCTTACCCAACCCCAAGTCTTCTTGCTGAGATGGATTTCCAAGATTTCCTACATCTATCATATTGAAGACCTGACTGTGTATCGGCGAGCAACTCGATCCGACATGTCACGTTCATGGCGACCGCCAGCGCTTCCACCGATGCTGCATCTGGACACCTCAATCATCACTGAGGTGCAATTTCGAAGTGCCAACCTCCATTAATACTCTGAAAACTTCTGTTGGAGGCGCGTCTCCTTCGATATGAGACTAACGAGCCGCAAGTGCCATGCTTAGTGACAGAACGCGACCGAGTCGACGTGCATGCCTCATCCACAGAGCCATTCGATGCAATTAGGCCATAGTTGGCCATAATAAAAAGGAATAAACAAGGCCATAAGAACCGTTGGGTTGTGAAGTAGTGTTCGAGAAGCAAACAATTGCCTACCTTGGGTTTGGTCTTAAGCGCGCTTTCCTGGTTTTGATTGACAAAAGCTTCGACAGCCTTCTCTTGATTAGGTGCTCCTTTGAGAAATTCGCGGCGCATTCCCTCCTCTCCCAACACGGCCTTTAAGCGATGCGAATTCTCGTCGATTTCTTCCCGCATAAGCGCAAGTTTGTCCGCCTCTGGATGCCAGAGACCTGCACCTAAGCAACCCGAGACATGTCGTTAGCACACACTTCCCTCGCTGGCGTATCGACAGGACACAAAATGCTGCATGATGCTTCCTAGTTCTTAAATAGGGGACTCGGGTTCATGGATAGGTTGAAGGGTGTCTAAATCACGATATATCGTCCTAAAAGCGAGATACATGTCTCATATACCAGGTGATGTTTTCAAGACAAGCCAGCGTATGGTCCTTTACACAATTGCAAACTTCGGGGTGTTCTTCTGGATTCACTTACCAACAAAGCAGGACTTAGGTTGACAATGAACATAATACGCAGCGTAAGGGCCTTTTTTGCCTGTGCGGGACCTGTTGAACTGTTAAACTGACTGCCCTTTATCCAGCATTGCTTCTGTACCTACCAAGCAGCCGAGAAGTGTGTCTGCTCAATACTAATTGTTAGCCTGATGATACAATCCAATTACCTATAGGGAATGATCCTTAGACATGGGAGATACTCGGGATGCAAACGTACTTTGTATGGAGTAGGATCTTTGCTGAAGCGAATATCTCTATGTATACGGAATACCTAGAGCAACACACCTGTTAATGCAACCCTCTCCTATGAACCTCTTCTCGCTGATTCAACTGGTACTACTCACCAGATCCTTAACAGGCAACTCAGGGACCGTGCTATCCGTTTCTGCGATCTTCTCAGTGAGGGTCTCAACAAAGCCCTCCCAGTCTTTCTTTGAAGCACGATAGTCCGCATCATGCGCTGTTAGATGTAATCATGGTCAGCTGTGAATCCAACATCATAATATCTCAACAATCGATCTTCTATAAGGTACCTTTGAGCCAAGCCCTCTCGTTGTTCTCTGCCAAATCCGCAAGAAAAAGAAAGGTGTTGGGATGCAAGGTATGCTCCTGGTAGAGCACATTTCCTGGGTCCCTTGCTCTAGGTTTCTTAATGAAGACCTCTTTTCCTGGCCCGAGACCGGCTCTGACACCTTCTTTCCACAGCTGCCTTCCTTTCAATGGGCCTTCTGCATCGCCTTCTAGAATGCCGTGTGATTTCTTTCCGATGCTTTCTGTGTCTTCTTGCTTTCTTTTTCGACCTTTTTGCGATCCCGTTTTCAATGGTTCTCTTGACTTCTGTGTCTTCTCGTCGTCTGTCGGGAATACGACTGACTCCGCATCCTCCGATACGGAGTCATCGTAGTTGGAGGCGGTGTCCTCCGGCGGGGAGGTACTGTCCGAGTCAGGCTCTTGATCATCGGAATGTTCTTCCTGAAAATATTTGCTCTTCTTGGCGGTCGACCTAACAGGCCTTCCAGTTGTAGTTGTGTTGGGCTTTTGTCTTTTTGGTCCTGGCTTGGAGGCAGTGGGGAGTCTGTCAGACGCGCGCCTTTTTGGTATTGGCGCTGGTGCTGCCGCTGACGCGGGAACGGCCCGAGACGATCGACGAGGCATGGCAAAGAGAAAGATTGATTTTGTCTTCGGCTTTCCTCCGTGTCTATCTGAGGAAAATGAAAAGTGCAAGCGTTCCTTGTAGACAAAATTAGCTACGCAAGATTGGGCGGAACAATTGGTAGGAGAGATCGTATTTAATAAGCTCCTGTAGAAGCTTGGAAGGTTCTTGACCGAACTACGGGGTCGTTAGCGACTGATAGACTTTCAGCCCGTTGAAAAGGAACCGGGAATGCGACCAGGAGGTTGGTAACTTCTGGGGCGGTTTTCGCGTGGAAAAGCGGGCAATTCTTTGCTTCCCGCACCGCTAAAGTTAGTGCGGTCGTTAACGTCGTTACATTTCAGGTTTTGCCCGCCGCAGAACAAAACGTTGATTTTCTTGTATTGGTATCATATCTTGTCGCTTTGATCGAATACTATGCCTGCCTTGGCTTCTCCTGGATCATCTGCTTTTCCAAGTTTTCATTAGCCATTAAATACCTATTCCTCTTTGAAGAAGCTGTCCAGTCTTCCGTATCGTTACCTTAAAAGTAACCTATCTTCTGATCTACCCCTTGCTTGACAGTGACCTCCGTATAAAAAAGAGAGGACAAAAAAAAAAAAAAAAATACCTAATGAGCGAAGTCCAAGCAAGCGCGATACCCGAACTTTTCGAGTCTCGCAAGCGTAAAATTCTTGCAGAACTCTCCGTTCCTGACGCAGAATACACAGACCTTTCACCCAAGGGTTCGGTCGATGAGGGTATTCGGGACCTCATCCAAGACATCAATGGTCTTCCAGGCTTGGTAACCACCAGTAGCTGTGCGGGACGCATCAGTGTATTCCTCGAGGGAAGGAAAAAGCAGCTGAAGCCACAAGAGGAGCAAGTGAGACAGTTCGTAGCCTCGGGGGGTAAAGGAGCTGGAAAATGGCTGTACGTCTCTCATGATCCCTTGCAAGGCTATGATGCGCCACGTGGCGGCGAAGGCAGCTATCAAGGGAGACCATTGCATAAGTTGTTTGGAATGGTCCCTGGCGATGGAAAACCCCCTGGCCTGAACAAACAAGGAAAAGCCCCGCGTCTCGTGCGCTTCCATTTCGAGCCTTTGGTACGTTAGTTTCCATCCTGCATCCTTTGTTTCTTCGATGGATATGAATGTGCCTATTCCATCCCTGGTATTACCTGGTTTTTGGCGACCAAGGCTCGCGTTTCTTTGTGACCCTGGAAATTGTCACGTTTCTTTTCTTTGTTTTCTTTTGCTCCCTAGGTTTAGCATCTATTGTTACTGGGTTGGATTGCTCGTCAGGTGCTGGGATTTAGAAACGGACTGGCAGGCTGGTCTAAGCACAAATTTGCTTTATTTGATTACTGACAAGGCTCTCCTTAGATTCTTCACATCATGACCGCAACTCTACACCATGCTCATCCTGTATTATCTGCCGCATCGAGCTCTGGCTTCCGCGAAAGCGGATTGCAGAGTTTGCGCTGTCTAGAGGGCGACTATGGGACTAGGGGCGATGATGGTCCTAGTCCCATCGTCGCTGTGCGCTCCGCGGGCTTATCATTGGAGTCAGTTATTGGGTATTGCGAAGACGGCGACGCCAATGATTCGACGGCAGGAAACGAGCCAATCGTCCACAGCCTGGTAACAGAAGAATACCTACAGATGCTCGTTGCAATCTCAAATGAGCGATTCTCAGTAAATACCGAGCGGAAAGAGAGGTTCCGAGAAAATTTGCTGGATTTATACTCTGCGAGCCAGGGGGCAAAGTCGAAAAAGAAAACCAAACCGCCCGGCTGGGAGGATGCCCAGACACGGCGAGAGAGGATGAGAGCGGAGGGTCTGTTGAGAAAGCAACGCCTCCAGGATGAGGCGAAAAATAACGAGGCACAAGATACGCTGCCCTGGAGCTGTGACCGGATGGATTGATAGAAAAAGAAATCTATTAGATTCGGCCAATAGCGTTATTCACATCGACTCTCGCGGTGTAAGCCTCCTGTCATGCAAAACGTCATGAGCTGATAGACACTTAGATAGGGGGCGATGGAGAAAATGATAGCACTACAGAGTTAGAGGAGATAACGGGAAAATGAAGCGCTACAAATATCGGACCTCATATGGTGTACGCCTAAAGCTACATAACATAGGAATTATCATGCACTGAATCAACAGTAGAGGAACGATGGAAGGGCGAATGAAATGCTGAATAAATTCAGCGGGGCAGAAAAGGAAGACAGATAATAAATGAAAAAAAAGTGCTGCATGGCTAGCATTCTAAAGCATGACCTTCATCATCCAACGACTCTCAGACACTCCAATCAAGCCAAGCTTGATCTGCGCAAGAGTTACTTTGCCTCTTCCAACACTCGACGATATGATATTGAAGACTATGGAATCTTTGAAGACAGGCGGACAATACGGTGCCAATTGAAGGGGTAGAAGCTGACCTAAAACATGGTGAACTGATAAAGAGGACATGAAAATGTAAGCTAAACCGAGAGACTCGTCAACGTATTGCCATAGAATGAAGGTCCGACCAAATAGCGACATTTGAACGCTGCATTCCAATGTGCAGCTAAAAGCTAAGCACTGGACCCTGGAAACTGACTAGGAGAGGACTTTGTGGTTCTATGTCCAAAATGGAACCCTTCTCTAGCTGGTCCAGGGGGGAATATGAGAAGCCTTCGGGTCCAAGGGCTCTCATCGCTATCATTAAACGGACGACGGGAAGGACTGGCTTCCGTTTCTGGATCGCAAGAAGCTCTAACCTCGGCTGCATGGCGGGATGGAGTTGCAAAAATATCGAGTCGAGACGACGACTGTTGGATTGGGCCTTCATCTGGGCTAGTAATCGAATGGACAGTTGTCTCTCGAGCCCTCTGCCTAGTTGAAGATGAAGGCTCCGCAGCTGCACGAGTTTCGTTGTTTTTGGATACCCAACCAGTGAGGACCAGGTTACCTAGGATGTGCATTTCGATCTGGACAGCGCTTTCCCACAGCACCGTCTTCGTAATAGTTCCAGGCCACTCAAACCACACACGACCGTATGGAGAACGCAGGTCATTTCTGTCTTGAGGGAATGTGTTGGTAAGGTGAGGGATGCCGTGGTCGGGTATAGTCCCCTTGGAGATCAAATTTGAATAATACTAGATAAAATGAAAGGTAAGTGTAAGCGTCAAAAGAAAGAAGAAAGCTGAGTAGAGTGATCTATAGACTAACCAAGAGTGCATCCTTGTTATAGTTAGGCAATTGGACCAAGGTATCAAATGGGAACCACTTGCTGATTTCGGGAAATCTAGCAATCTCAGCTTCAAGGCCAGAGTTCACGCACAGGGTATATTTCTGACGTTCATTAAAGGCCGGGCAGTTCAACCCAGCATAGAGCAGATCTCGCAGGAGATTCTGATCCAGACCCATGGTGTGCGTTTTTTCTATGCGTGATGCAAGAGACAACAAGTGCCGATTCGCCATCTCAAACAGCTGGTTACGATCATCAACCGTGTACAATTTTGTGGCGTACCATGGAAACTGCACGCATTGTCAGAAATGCCTTGTATATAAGTCACTAGATGGTGGTCCGATACCTTATAAAGCGTACTAATCGTCGACTCATACGTGCGCTGAGGGCATTTGACGCTGAATGGCGACTAGAGGGCGTTCAACACGTTAGTATTGCTTGATGCCAAAAGATATGCCAAGACAGATTACTTACACGATGAGGGATTTCGGCATGGCGAATCGCTCCAACAATCTCTTCACTCGTGATAAAACCGGAAAACCCCGTGGAGTACGGATCGGTGCTGGAGATTTCGCTAGGCATACCGTCTTCCCAAGAGATGCATTTGGCCTTCGGGAAAAGCTCCTTCAGCAGCGCATCCTGACTGCTGAGTTCCACCTCTACACGGCGAAGACCAAGGCGAGGGGCTCGGCCAGATTCATAGATGCTATTGATCCGCTTAACAGTCTCCCGTGCTGCTTCATGGGTCTCAGTCTCGGCAAAGCAATCCATGGTCTTTGCAGTTGAGCGCTCCATAATGATATGGATTGAACATCCTTTATCTGGAGTGATAAGGCGCGCTTGGCGTCCAACAAACTGCGAGATCTCATACTTGGTAACAGAGTATGGAATCTTCATACCAGTCAATAATATTCCTTATAAAAGGCGACCCCACTTACATTCGAAATCTTGATAACTCCCCAACGCGGTGCTTGACTGGTATGTACGTGGCTTCCTATGGGCATCTCCTCACTCAAAGCAACCGTGTGGAATGGCTTCTTCAGATCAGGAATCTGCTCAAATCTCTCCGGTTGGCCCTGAGTTTCGTTCCCCACAACCTGAGATACCGGGGCAACCCCAGTGGGATAAAATGCAGGATAAAGCGGCTCCAGTGGCCCGTAATAGACCGCATGCTGAGCTACTGGGGCAGGGAGTGGAGTACGGGCAGCTCGTGGCTGTCTCATAAGGTGTGGATTCTGGGGTGTAGGGGTAGGCGTCTGTGCAGGATAATATGGGTTACTACTTCCAGGAGCTTCCCCAACAGAAGGAAGATGTTGGCAGAAGCTTGACATACTTGGGAACGGCCCCTGCTGGCGAGGAGTCTCAGGCCAGTATGGGTTCGGAGGCAGCTGCATCGCACAGTCCTGACGTCCACGGTATGAGCTAGGAGAGTTGTTTTCAGTGAAGGGATCAACTGGGCATTTAGATGACATGATGAAAAGCTAGAAGGATGAGAAGTAATATGGAGGTAGGGATGATAGTGGGCTATGATGAGGGGTGAAAAGCATAAGAGCCAACTATCACAAGACCGAGAGCCTTGCTTAAAAGTGCACGGCAACACGTAGAATTCACTTGTGTTTCATTTGTATACTTATCCCAGTTATTGACGACTAATCAAGTAGTTGATTTGCCGTGATGAGATGTTCAAGAAAATGAAACTGGCATGCAAGTGTTCTGTAAAGACTGCTTGCAAAACCCAAATGAAAAGAAAAGTATAGAAAAGGAGGAAGAAATACGACAGAAGGGAAAGGAAAGCAAGACAAGAGAGATATGAGCATCTTGTTCTAATTGCATATTGCTATGGACTGGAGAGGTAAGCCTACATTAAGTCATGGAACAGTTTTAAATCAAGTACAATAGTAAGGATGGTATATCAAATAATCAAACAATAAAGCCATACAAAGATCGTTAGGGTGAATTGAAATTACTCCCACCCATCCCAGAATACTGCCTGAAAGAAAGATACTGGTAAAGTTTTTGTTTGCTTCGTTGTCTAAGACTGTTTAATCTTTACCTATCATGTAAAATATTCTATCCTCATAGATTCCCAAAAACTACAAGCTAGAATATACGTAAGCTTGAGTATCTACCAGCTGTGTAACAAAGCAGATGTGAATAGCTGCAAAGGTCACATTGAAAGAAGAATAGTAGGATATTGGGGCTGCCCAGGTAATGTATATATTACATTAAAGATAACAGCCCCTTGTGCTTTTTAACTCATATGCCTCTCTTCTATATTGAGGACTACTAGGAAGTCTAAGTTACGACTAAAGGAGTACATCTAAACAGTGAACATGTTCACTATATATTTGATAACTTTCGAATCTAGAAAAGGGAACGAAGCATAGAGCGAAGCAAAGTTACCCCTACGACCAGTCTAGATCGCCTGTACAATACTCGCTACTGGATAAAAGATCAAGGTCATGAGCATATCACCAACCATAGAAAGAACATTACAAGCAATGGTTTAGTCAAACTATAGATTATTCGTTAGTGACATCCAGAGAAAGAGGGCGAGAAGGTGGATCGTTACCGGTGTCAAGAAAGACTCAGCGACGAATCGCGCACGGGCATTCAACTGCGCAGTGTTAATATCACTATTGATGACCAATTAAGAAAGGGTACATACGAAAAGTTTCATTTCGGAGATTTCCTTATCAACTTCCTCCATAAATTCTAACACGAAGCTTACAAGCTTGTGCTTAAGGAGCTGTTCCGTATGGAAATTGGTGATCAGGAACGAGATATCGTATCCCTGTTGACATGTTAGCACATTGAAGATATAGACCCGGCGCAATAGATCTAGCACGAGAGATCCGGCAAGCGCTTTAAGAAGTGAAGTCTGACCTGTACTGGCTTCCGCCGCAAGATGAAGAATGATTCGGCCCGCTGAGTCATGAATCGAGTGAACTTGTGTACTAAGATGTGTTCAATCTCGTCTGCTTGCTTGATCCTGATGCTGACACGAACACTATTCACACTAGGTTCAATGAGGACCTTCTCGTTTTCATTGCGGGAGACTGTGAGCGGGTTGAGAAGAAGTTCCGGAGAGCTTTGAGCCTCGATTTCTGGGACATTATGCCTTTCGGACGTCTGAGAAGCGAAGTTTGAAATGGCAAGTGCGGCGGTAAGGGAGGACCGGACGCATTGAAGATACGGACGCAGCGATTGAGACTCCAACAATAAGCATTCAGTGAAACTTAGCGTCGAATTGACTCAACTCACCATATTGGAAGTGTGACGTATTCTGGGATCTCCGTGTTGTTATTCCGCTGATGAGCCCATCAACAACCGATGTTGCAAATGTGTGGCTCAGACCAAGAACCCACAGTTCAACAATCCAGTAGCCGAATGATTTATGTCTGTACCCTGGCCCAAGATACAAACCTAGGAATAGATGTAGGTGTCAAGTACCAGCTTCAGGAGCCACAGGCGGCTGTCCCACTAGGCCGCGATGTCGCCTGTTTGCATTGTTTGCATTGGCTGCCCCACGCCTCCCCGAAGTGTTGGCTGACGATGATGATGCTGCTGCTGCTGCTGCTCTTGTTTATGCGCCACTTTCATCAAGCAGAAGCCAAGGAGAGACTTTCTGAGATTACCTTCCCAAGGTTGACATAAAATGGCGTCTATACCAGGTATATACATGTTTCCTTGCAGCAATTTAACGTTGCTTTGTTAGCTTCTAACTTCAGATCACAGTTATTGTGAAGCACCAGGGTAAACGTCATGAGGTCGAGCTGGACCCATCCTCGAACGGTGAAACACTCAAGTACCAACTATATTCCCTCACCGGTGTTGAACCCGAGCGACAGAAAATCCTGGTCAAAGGAGGACAACTCAAAGATGAAACTCCACTGTCCTCGCTCAACGCCAAACCGGGCCAGACATTCATGATGATGGGGACGCCTGCTGGTGGCCAGGGCTCCGCGGATTTGGGCCGCCCGAAAGAAGCAGTGAAGTTTCTGGAGGACATGACGGAGGCTGAGGCAGCAAGGGCAGAGGGGGCTACCCCTGCTGGTCTTCAGAACCTTGGTAATACTTGCTATCTCAACTCAACGCTACAGACACTGAGAAGTGTTCCCGAGCTCCAGCAGGAGCTTCAGAGATACCGTCCTTCTGCAGGTGCGGGTGGATCATCGAACCTCTCCGATCTCAGCAGTCTTGGGCTTGGCGGTCTCGGCGCTTCGATGGACCTTACCTCCTCTCTGAGAGATCTATTCAAGCAGATGTCTGAAACGCAGGAAGGTTTCCCACCACTTATGTTTCTTAACGCTCTGAGGAACGTGTTCCCCCAGTTTGCTCAGAGAGATCGAAATGGCCATGGTTATGCCCAACAAGATGCCGAAGAGGCTTGGTCCCAGATCGTAACTCAGTTGCGGAATAAACTTATGATCAAGGAGGGTGAGGGGGAATCTAGCAACGAGGTATCTTTTGTGGATAAGTACCTTGCCGGAAGGTTTGAGTCTGTTACGGAATGTGATGATCCGGGAGCAAAAGAGGCTGGCGAACAACCTACTCAAAGCTCAGACGTCTTTTATAAGCTTGATTGTCACATTGGTAAAGAAACTAATCACCTGCACGATGGCATCAAAGCTGGTCTCGAAGAGAAGATTGAGAAGCGTTCCCCTACTTTGGATCGTGATGCTGTGTACACGAAACGTTCAAGTATTGCTCGATTGCCCAAATACTTGACTGTACATTTTGTTCGGTTCTTTTGGAAGCGTGAAACCCAGAAAAAGGCTAAGATCATGCGTAAAGTAACGTTTCCTGCTGAGTTGGATGCGGTGGATTTCTGTACGGACGAACTCAAACGACAACTGATCCCCATTCGAGACAAAGTACGGGAGATCCAAAAGGAAGAACTTGATATCGAGCGTGCTCGCAAGCGTCAGAAGACCACACATCAGCAGGAGGTAGAGAAAAACACTGAAGTGGAGACCTCTCTGGAGCCAACGCAGAAGAAGAAAGCATCCGAAGAACGCAAAAATGCAGGGAAGGCTGCCGAGAAGGATGGTGATTCCGCAATGGAAGATGTCTTCAAGTCCGATGCAGACTATGAGGCTGAAAAAGCAGCTTCTATACTTGCAGCGAAGAAAGAGCTTTCCTTGCTTATCGATCCGAAGCTCGGCTCGGACGAGGGTACTAACAAGTCAGGCCTTTATGAGTTACGTGGAGTAATCACGCACCAAGGTGCCAGCGCCGATAGTGGTCACTACACCGCATATGTCAAAAAGCAAGCCAACGGTAACAAGGAAGAGGACGGAAAGTGGTGGTGGTTCAACGATGAGAAAGTGACCGAAGTAGAGGCGGAGAAGATCGAGACTCTTTCTGGCGGCGGTATGTCATTCATTGGTCAGAAAATAACATGAATTCTTCGCTGACAATCTTACAGGCGAGTCCCATTCTGCGCTGATCCTCCTCTACCGCGCGATTGACCTCCCCACTGCGAACTGAGTATACTCATAGTAGGGGCTTCGGATTCACGGGTTCACAAGGCCCATGATAATCAAAAATTAATCGCACATGTTGAACACGAGTGATGTCTACATTAGTGGGAGAAATAGTTTGGCTTTAGGTGTTGTTTCTTATGACGCTCAGCTTGGCCCTGTTCATTTAACTCTGTGAGATGTCTTCTGTGCTAGGGAACCCTTTGAAACTGCCCTGCTAGCAGCGGGATTCCCGCCTTTCATGCGTGCTAGATTGGATAGACCCAACACTTAGAATAAAGGAAATATCAGGAGCCAGCTGTTCAAGAGCCTTGCAACTATATCGATAGGAAATACTAGTAGCCATCGCATATCGTATCACGTGATACGGAAATTGATGCCTCGGCATATCCACTATGAGCTCGCAGGTAATTCAACCGCCAAAGGTACCCGCAAGATTGCGATGTGAAACACCATGTTCGGTCCCCGCAGAGCCTTAAAATTCCGATTGCCCAGCCTAAGAACCCAGTCGCAACAGACACTACGATTCACACCTCAGATTTCAAGAAGCGCTAGCACTACAACCCATCAAACTTCACCTGGACCGTCGAAGTGGCCTCGGCGACTGATCTATGCCGGAATATTTGGCGGTCTCGGGGTCGCAGCGGGGAAATGGATGGACGATAAGGTTTCTGCGCCAGCAGAACCAGGAACGAGGGAGGATACCCTGAAAATGGAAGAGATTCGACGTGCATACGAGATTGGTCTGCCCATCGTGCAAGAGCTGCGAAACAATCCGGACTACGTGGAAGCGGACGTGTATGGGAATTATACCGAGGACGATAAGCAGCAGAGGCTTACTTCCGGTCCACTGAAGGGCAGTCGAGCATTAGCGCTACAGGTTCGTCTCTACTCTAGGGTTTTACTGAGCAACGTGCTGCAAACCGGCCGCCGACAAGCAAACCAGTGTAACTGTCGTACCCCCGGGGGCCTATTCCACAGCTACCAGCAACCTGCATTAGGAAATTTAACTTTATATCTTTGTCATCATTTCTAACTGGTTTATCTAACAGAAAGTCTTTTGGAACGATAAGGAGCAGAAGGCTATCAGTGTTGTCTTCCTCGGAAATGGCCTCGAAGGATGGCCAACTATCGTCCACGGTGGGGCTCTTGCCACTGTCATCGATGAGAATCTAGGCCGTGTGGCAATCCGGTCTTTCCCGGAGCGCACAGGAGTTACTGCGAACCTAGAGATAAAGTATCGCACTCCTGTCTATTCGGGCAATTTCTATACCTTCCACTCCAGGATCGATCGAGAACGGACCACCGATCGCAAAGCGTACGTGACGGGAGAAGTGCGCGACCCGGTTGGAAGGGTGTGTGTCCAAGCGTCTGCGCTCTTCGTCGTTCCCAAGAAGTACAAGCTTCAGGAGATTGGTGAACAGTACTGATAAGCCTTTACAACTATACGAGACCTACCAATGGATCTTTCCTTGACTCACTGGAAATTAGCGCCCTAGGCTGAGGGGGATTCTTCGAAGTACTGGGGCACTCACCCAGAAATTAGATCCTTGTCCAAGAAAAATCCTTCCTGGGTGGTTGTTTTCTCCTTAATTTACGGACCAGCTCACTCAGATACATGGCGTCATCATTTCTGTATATAAACTGTCATACTGTAAAAGAGAATAGAGAATCTCTGTGGAGTGATAAACTTAATTGACTACATGGTATATGGAACCAAGTTAGTAACGTCATGTGTTCAAGCCTTTCTTCTCCATGTTTTTTGCCCCCCCGCATTCCCCGGATCAACGTTCGGTTATGGATGAAGTGGCGCTTTGAACAAATTCAAAAACCACAAAACGCCTCGGCTGCGTCTCGGACTGGAAGTAAGACCGGATTCTAGACTCTTTTGGTATACATCTCCGAATGGGTTAGGCCATCAGCCATAACCACCCTTGATTATCAGCATCCCCGCGAAACTCCAATAGTTGGCATTGTCAATCCATGCTTATTGTGGAAGGCGACCCTTCAATAATGCACCGATAGGCAAGGAGTATAAGATGTAGAGCTTGGGGAAAGCTTGTCTCACTCAGACTTCCGCTTACTTTCCTATTTTCTTCCTGATCCAAAACGTGTCGTATATCACTGGTGGCCCCCATGTGTTTGCGAACCGGTTGAATTCTCCACTTCTCAACTTCTCTTCGTCCCTTTTTGGATAGAAGTAGCAGCAGCAGCCATGGAATTTGCCAATAATTCAAGTCAATCGCAAGTGGATGAGAAGACTGTTGGACATGCAGGTACCAGTCACAAACAAAACCACCGCCATCAAGAAGATGTAGGATCAGACGGTTATGCGGATGAGTCGGGGAATCATGGCTCAGAACCTCCTGTAAGTTCTGAGAACATCACTGGGCCACTCTTCGGGCCTTCGTCAAGAACGTTGAGAAATGACCATTTCACTTCTAATACCAGATGACTTTTCGCCGCTTCATGGGGTTCACAGCTATGGCCTTTTTATGGACCGGCAGCCAAATTCCTGTCTATTTATTTGGTAAGATCCATTTGAGATTGAAGTTCCCTTCCCTGAGGCTGATAATCGGAAAGGTGGGATCCCACCATATATCTATGGAGACATAGGAGGAGCAGATCGATGGGTTTGGTTTGTAAGTCCTGACTTCTCTAATTTCATGAAAGAAACGCAGTTTATCTCATGGTATCCTGATACATCACGCAGGTTTTGGCGAATCTCCTTGCTCTCGCCGGCGTTTGCCCATTTGTTGGATCCCTATCCGACCTGATAGGTCGTCGCTATGTTGCTCTCATCGGAGTTTCCCTCATCTGTGTGGGAATGATTGTGAGTAGTACGGCAAACACTATGAATACATTCATTGGTATGGCAACCGAGCTTCATAGCAAACTTGACCTGCAGCTAACCGCTATCAGGGGGGATGGCAATCGCAGGTGCGGGTGCGGGTATCAACGAGTTGACAGCATTGGCTGCGACCTCTGAGATGGCGCCTACCAGCCAGCGCGGCAAATATGTCGCCATTTTGATCTTTACAATCTTGCCGTTTTGTCCATCTGTCTTATGGGCTCAACTTATTGCAGCCCACAGCGGTTGGCGATACGTTGGGGCATTCTGTGCCGCGTGGAATGGATTCGGCCTGGTGATCACGGCGCTGTTCTACTTTCCACCTCCACGGATCAACTCGGAAGGGTTATCTCGACGAGAAATCTTGAGTCGTGTTGACTACATTGGTGGCTTCCTCAGCATTGTGGGGCTAATCCTTTTCATGGCTGGAATGCAATGGGGTGGCTATCAGGTATCATATAAACCATCATCTCTTTAGTGTACGACCTCTGGAGCTAAACATACCACAGTATCCCTGGACATCAGCGCATGTCCTCGTGCCACTCATCCTGGGAATTGCTTTCTTAGTTATTTTCGTGGTTTGGGAGATCTACGGCACAAAGTACCCAATTTTCCCCAGTCGCTTGAAGCAAGAACCTCGCACCCTAGGCCTAACCCTAGTCATCACCTTCATCTCCGGCGCAAACTTCTTCTCCGTGATCATGTTCTGGCCCACCCAGTCGTTCAACGTTTATGGACATGATCCTGTCGAAGTTGGCGTCAGAAGCCTACCCATCGGATTCGGCATCATGGGTGGCGCCTGCATCACTCTATGGCTCCTGAGCGTCCTACGAGGTCACAATAAGGAGCTATTAATAATCAGCAGCATTCTCATGACAGCAGGTTCGTACACCAACAATACCTACAATTTACCCCTAACTAACAGTCCCAGGCTGCGGCGCAATAGCAGTTGCCCGACTCGACAACCTATATCAAATATGGGGCATTCTCGTCGTCGCCGGTCTAGGTATCGGGGGCATCGTAGTCCCAGCCTCCATCATGACGACCATCATCTGTCCAGACGTATGTATCTCACAACTTTCAAGACAAAATCACAAAGAGCCACAAATCTAACTCTTTCACAGGACTTAATCGCAACAATTTCCGCCCTAACCCTTTCTATCCGCGTAGTAGGCGGCAGCATCGGCTACACGATCTACTACAACGTCTTCATATCCAAATTCGTCCCAAACGCCAAACACTACATAGGTGGCGTCATGCTCACAAAACTTAACATCACAAACACTACTTACATCGCCGAGGCAATTGAGTTGACTGGCGCCTCGTTGTTAGAAAACTTGCGCGAGATTCCTGGCATCGCGGGGAATGAGACTGCGTATGAGGCTGTTGTGGTGGCGGGCCAGATGGGGTATGCAGAGAGCTACAAGTGGGTTTACTATGCCAGTATTGGATTTGGGGGCGTGTCGATCCTGGCGGCGTGCTTCTTGGGGAACATTGGGGATTATATGGATGATCATGTGGCCGTGGTTATATAGCTTTTTGGGGGTTGGATATCTTCTCTTCTCTATATCTGCTTGGTCGAGATGGATATATATTGTTTTACAAATATACATAAATGTATGTATCATGGCGCGACGAGGATCTTGATTCTATGAGATATAAGGTGTATCATGATACAGATCGAGCTAAAGAAGAAAATACATAATGCGAACACAAACAATGGGTATACATAATCCACTCCTAGAAAGACAAACGCTCAAACTATATATATCATTGCCATGTGCTTTCTACTTGATTCATAGAAGACCTTTTCGGGACGAAACCAGTAGTAGATGATTTCGACTTTCGTCTATCATCCTTAGGCCGTAGACCCCTACTCAAGCCACCTCCCATGCCCCTGGCAAGGGAAGCAAATGGCGATGCATGCCACTGATCGAGATCCTCTTCGTGTTGGCCAACACTGGGCACGATGTCAACATGTTTCGATGATCCATCGGAGCGTCGGTTCCGAGATCGACTCAAGGGACTCGTCTCGTTGTCCACCATCGGTGACGAAGGGCTCCAGGGTCTCGGGATGTTGGTGACAATATGCTCCGAACATTTGCAGCCACAACCAGTAGGGCAGAACTGGAACTCCTGGTCACTTTCCGGCAAATCTACAGCGCTATTGGTTTTCTCATTATGTAGCTCTGGCGATGCCATTGAGAACCAGCCCCGATGGCAGCTAAAGCAACTCACATGTCCACAACTGAGACAAGGTGTGAGCATTCCGTCGACCACTTCACCGCAAATAACACAGGGAAGTTTGAGGGGAAGAGGCTGCTTCGGGTTACAATTTTCACAGATCGTGGGCGTAGGAACCCCCTTTATGTGGGTTTTGGCTGCGCTCTTCGTCTCGGACTGTGTAGTAAAAATTGACATATGAAGAGGACAGCCACAACTGATGCAATGCCGTTGAATTTCCAGTCCCTCGTTACCTGTTTCAGCAGCCAAACTTACCGAGCTGCTTCGCCCAAGGGTTGGCAAAGAGAGCGACGACTCCGGGCTACTATAGCCCCATTGACGGAAGTCAGTGTGGTTAGGAAGATTACTATTTCCACCAATCTTGAGGACTTCACTGCGCTGTATGGGAAGGCCCCATATTGATAACAGATGGGCGTACGCTATTCGATATGATCGATAAAGACAATCCTTATTGTTATCAATGAAAGAATTTTGAGTCGCCCCATTATTAGCTTCAAAAGCGTCACGATTTTTCAGGGTCACTCGTAGTTTCGCCCGTGGCTTCGAGTGTTCGGGCTTCTCAGGTCTTTCACTCTCCGTATCAGAATGTGTTTGAGAGGTGGGCGCAGTTGATGTGGTAAGGTAGTCGGGGACTGCTGATACAGGTTTTGAGGTGGAAGTACTCGTAGGCCATATTCCCCCAGTCGTGTTGGGGCTGCCGCCGGGGCTCTGCTTTTTCTTGGACAAAACATTGGCCGGTGGTGAGGCCGACGAGGGGCCAAAGGTGAAAGACCGAGATAGAGAAGAAGCAAGAACTGAACCAAGGCCTGATGCGCTACGTGGCTGAGACTGTTGGTCAGGTGAAGCGGCTATGGAAGTAGTATGGCCCATAGCCCTCCTCTCTGCTGCAAAGCCTGAAGCACGGGATGCCAACGGAGGAGTTGTACCAGTTGAATACGGAGGAGTAGAATCAGGACGCCAGATCTCAGAGGACGATCGTCCAGAGCTCTGCGTGATAGGCGTAGCATGGCTATCTTTAGGCGTCGATCCTAGGGGAGTCGTTGTGTGACACTTATTCGGTGAGGATGTATGACTGGAATAAGTATTTAATGGCAAGGGTTGATCCTCCAGTCTCTTTGACACTGTCCTGCTGTGATGATATTCGTCGCTGAGCGAGTCCTCGTGAGCCGGTTCATGCAAAACACAGCTGAGCATTGCAACCATTTGTATGTCCCCAATCCGTTCGAAATGCTCGAAGAGGGCAGGAACGAGCCATTTTCCTCCAAAAGGATGATCTCCCCATTGAATCACATTACCAACTGTCTCCTTTGGATGCTGATCTTGACTTCCCAGATCGTAACTCAGGTCCACCGCACTATCCTTTCTCTGCATGAGCTGGGGTCTTTCGCGGGAGTCTAGGCCAGATGCAGGGATAGATTTTTTGTTATTGTACAAAACCAGTTTGACAAGTCCCCAGATTCGGGCCAGCTCATAGTAGCCATGATCGAGAGCAACCGCAGCGTTATGGGCACATACATCTGTACCTTTGCCGCAAATAAGATATTTGTTTGCTAGCTCGCGTTTTGCTGGAAGTAACTCAGTGAAGTCATGAATAGATACGACATTCTGTGGGTTTTCGGACAATTTTGAAGTCATCATACCTACAGTTGACCTCTGGGAATTATCCGTGGACCGCGGCTTATAGAGTCCAAGACTGCCGGCACTACGCCATGTTTGAGGAGTTGGAAATCGATGTTGCAAGCCTGATAAGATTCCTGATGACCCAGAAGAGCTGGAAGTCTCAGCATCCGAGTCATCGGAGTAATCGGATGCGCCATCATCAGTACTAGTCATTGTACCCGTGGTTCGTGGCCCAGGTGAACTCGTCTGCAGACGGCCAAATCCCTCAAAGACTTTGTCTGCCCTCGATAGCCTCGTCATTTCCTTAAATCCTAGGTTTTCCAACAAAGACGCTGATTTGTCTTTCTTGGAGGGGAAAAAGCAGACTAAACGACCATCATTGGCCCAGAGTGCACCGCATGCCTTAGCAACAGGTACCATTACATTGGCATTGACTGGCCGCAGCAACTCAGAGCTCATTCCCAGTTCTTGACTCTGGGACAAACCTACTTCATCTTCGTCGCTTGACTCTTCCCCCTCTAGCTGGCCGCTGAGGGGAGATTTCACAGTTTCGGTCGTTTCACCCAAGATCCAGGCTATGCTTTCTTCTAAGCTGGTTTCCCCTAACAGGTAGCGAACAACTCCTTCGAGGCAGCCTCTCTTGTGAGAGAGGAAAGTTTCCGCAATTGTGCGCAATTCCGCCACAAGCTTGTTGGCAAGCTGGTCTGTGACCGCCGCGGTCTTTTGCACACTGAATGATGGCAGTGCAGTCCTTGGATAATCGACAGGAAATTTTATGTCCACTTTCAGGAAGAGCGAGTCGCCATCTGCCCCCCAGGGCCCATGCAGAGATATTGTCGCCTTTCGCTGCCTGACATCCACGGACTCAAAATCAACCTTGGTGAATTTCTCTCCCACATGTGTAATTTCGTCACCTAGTGTTTCAACATCCCATCCCGAAATTTTGACACCTCGCATCCAAGATATAGGATTCGTATCGGTCCGAATATTAGATCTGCCTTGCATACCAATTCTAGACTCCGTGTTACCTCCCTGGGTCCAAGGTCGACTGTACGGAACCGATATAGTATTTACCCCTAAAGCTCGGGATGAGCCGGGCGTTGGCTCTTGGAAAGCAGACAGAGAATCCGTATCATCATGCCCCCGACTAACATCTTCATCACGAAAACTCTTATAAACAGCGCCATTGCGAGTGAGGTTTAGGTTGGACATAAATGACTTCCCCTTTTCGTGACCAACGCCTCGCAGGACATCTGGATCAGCCCTATGTAAACGAAGTTCTCTATCAGTCCCCCAGGATACTAGCTGGAAGTCTCTGTAGTCAGTTCCATCCACCACGCCCCCGCGCGCTCTCCAGAGGAACTCCTTCACCTGGCCCTTATGCCCTGGGAAACTGTGTACTAGAGGAAGGTCTCTAACAGGGTCTGCACCCTCTCCAGCTCTGCGACTATACAGGTGAAGATCACTATTGCCTCTCTGTGGCATTGCCAATACACCCCATCCAAACGGTGTGTTTCTCGCACGCCAAACCGGAAAGGGAGTTCTGATGATCTTCTCCGGATCTTCACCTTCAACAGTGTAATCCCAAAACTTTATTGTCTTATCCAAAGCGCACGTCACAACGGCCCCCGGACGGACTCTGTTCCAATCAACACCGTAGATTTTGGTATCATGGGCCTCAATGGACCGAATCGGGTAGGCGCCTTTTCTCTTGTCCCATATCCTCAAGAATCTATCGTGAGAGCTAGCGATGACGTTCGGATCTTGTCTGTTCCATTTGACTTGAGTTGCACCGGCAAACCAATCCGAGAACGAGATGGCTGGTCGAGAAGGAGACCGCAGATCCCAGCAGTGGACAAAGCTGTCAACGGCACAGGTCGCTAGGACATCCGGGTGGTGAGCGGAGAAGTTTATATCCGTTATTGCACGGGTGTGAGCATGCAAGACATGTTCAATCGGGTTCTGCCATGATTTCATGCCCAAATTCCATACCAACGCTTTCTGGTTCGATGTGCTCGCAACCCAGTAATCTCTAGCAGCGAAGGGAGACCACTGAACATCTGCGACCTCCCATGATGTATGATGAGGGAGGTAGCGGGGCGGTGAATATGGTGAGTCCAAGTCGATGATATGAAGACCCTCCTTTGAAGCCAGAACTACGTCTCGTCCACATGGCGATATTGACATGGACCCCACGGGCTGTTCCACGTGAAAAGAGCTATCCTCGCCGAATGTTGGGCTTTCGAATGCCGACGTGAGCGGCCGGGGCTCACTAGGATCGGCCATAGTGTGGTTGATAAGCCCTCAGTGCTCAGGCTGCTCCCCTTGAGGGGGTTTTTACCGACTCTTTCCGAGTACCTTGGAGATGTGTGCCGGGATTCAAGTCTTCATACAAAGCATTAGTAGAAAAGATTGTACGACACTATGAAGCGGTTTCATTTCGGTGGTTTCGGAAAATGTTTCGTCAATTGTACGAAGTGAAGGTAACGTAAGAATTGTGTGCACACATTGCGCAATGATACACAACTAACTGAGTTTTGAAGAACAATTGTGAGCTAAATTGATGAGATGAAGTAGTATTTCCAGTGTTAAAGGTTGGCGCACGTGTACACTCATACATACAATGAAGAATGAGCCAGCACGATGACTTGTTCCCGGCAGCTACAACATCTCCGCAAGTTGAAGTTGATGTGGAGACGGTTAAGGCATCCCTATCGGTTCTAGACAGATAAGTTGCGCTCTTGGCCCATTTGCCTCCCCGTGAACAAATTCCGAAGGCGGTGAGCTCGAGTACCCCTCTGCCTGTTGAAACCTACTTGGTCTGGCTAACCTTCATTGCCGATAGGATCTTCCCGGCTGTGACTAAACGGTTCCTGCGGATCCTGGGGCCAACCCTGCATCATCTTCTCTTGTTGGAATTCGGTATCCATCCTGAGAAGTGCTTAGACCTACTGGTCATATACAGTGCGCAGGAGAAGAGAAAAAGAAGCTCAGACACCGAGTTCTAAGCCCCACCTTGGATAAAGACGCGGGGGTATTGCCTACATTTAAGTTCTGTTGGTTCAAGATGGCGTTGCCAAAGAGAATTATCAAGGAGACCGAGCGCCTTATGGCGGAACCGTAAGTAAATTTGGCGTCAGTCGGAACATAGAACTATTATTGATTGTTCTACTCTTGCTCTTAGAGTCCCGGGTATCAATGCCGTACCTCATGAGGAAAACTTGCGTTACTTCGATGTCTCGATCCATGGACCGGCGCAATCTCCATATGAAGGTATAGTCGTCAAACACTTTCGTCTAAAGAGCGAGACAGCGTGGTTGCTAACGGCCAGAAAGGTGGTATCTTCCGTCTTGAACTGTTCTTGCCCGAAGATTATCCCATGACTCCTCCCAAGATTCGATTCTTGACCAAGATCTACCACCCCAACATCGACCGTCTTGGACGTATCTGCTTGGATGTCTTGAAGAGTGGGTTCTCCCTGGGAACATTTTGGAAAATCAACAAGCTAATCTCCCTTAGATAACTGGTCCCCTGCCCTCCAAATCCGTACGATCCTGCTCTCCATTCAAGCCCTGCTTGGAGCCCCAAACCCAGATGATCCGCTTGCAAATGATGTCGCTCAGCGCTGGAAGGAGGACGAGCCCGCCGCGATACAAACTGCTAGGGAATGGACCAGAACACATGCCATGACTTAGATTATTGAGACGTGACTCAATAAAATTCCACTATGACGCAATATGAACCAATACGTTGTGATGTGACCATGACAAGAAAAGTTATCCTGCGAACCTAAGACTTGCAGGCAGTTGTCTTTTGGATCAGCCCCAAGCCATGCGAGAGATCTTATATCATTGCCATTCAAGAGAGATCGATGACTCCAACCTTAGCTCATGTCCAGTTTGTGCTCCTTTTCGACGAAGCCGTTGTTGTTTCAAGGCGCGCGATTATTCTTGATGTTTGCTATTGTCATCAGATCAGAGCTGCAGTTTGATAGAATCATTTACTTCTCTAGCGCTCTACATTACAATTATCTTTTCTTAACAGTTACTTTATAGAATCAGGTATTGCTTGAAATAAAACTATCAATTTTGGTTGTGGGCTTTTTTCCAGTCATCATACAGTAAAATCCTATGAAGGGAAGCTGAAATAAAAGCCACTGCATAACCTTGCGTGTATTATATTCATGATACTCGAAGGCCCATGTCCAATGGAGATCACAGTACAGTTCATTGGCCAGTATACTTCCACATCCAGTATATTGATCAGAAACAAAGAAAAGAGAAATGAAAAATCCATCAGGGGAAGCCCAAAGGTTACTATACTACATCCGATAGTGTAGAGATGAATTCCCCTGCAGCCACGGTATATAGCGTGCACTCGCCATTCACTAGTCCCCCAATGCGAATCCAACCCGCAAAAGTATGAAAATAGTAAAGAAACCCCCAAGACCCAAGGTCAAGTTTCCCTTCAATGAAAAAGATTTCCTTAAACACTCGCAATAGTACATCTAGTATCCTCCACCAGCAACTAGTAGTCAAACACGACCATCCAAACAACCACAAAAACAAACAAACCGCCATGAAACACAAGGCCAAACGCAAATCCAAGGGGAAAGGAATATCCAAACTCAAGAAAGTCCACCCCAACAGAAACAAAGACAGGTTAGAATACAGAGTCTCATCCGCTCCCCTTTGCTCTCTGATCTCATCATGTGGTAGGGACGCCTCTAGTTCCTTAACCAGGAGGCAAACCCAGACATAACCTCAGAAGACCTCACAGCCCAACTCGGAACAACCCTTAGCCTCGACGGCACTACCCCCAAGACCAGCGACATTAACGCAGCAACGGAGGAAAAGCCAGGTGAAGGCAACATCAGCGCCACAAAGGAACTACCCAGAATAGGCTCGTTCAAAAGACGGTTGAAGGCGACCTTCACTGGTAGCCCCTTGAAACAGCCCGGCAACCCAAACAGGCACAGCTGCCATATTCACTCTCGGAGGAAAACGGGTCGTTCGCAGCGGTCTGGTCCAGTCACTGCTAGTTTTACGGGCAGCAACACAACGGGGGGTATTCACAGTAGCCCGACAAAGAAGTCCCCTCAGGCTGCTGCTCTTTCTGTTCTGAGATATTTGAGATATATTAGGGCTAATAACGATGCGTTTCTTTTGCGATTTCTTGGTTGTGCTGGGTTGGTTTCTGATATTGGTATCGTTGAGACTATATCTTTCTGGACCTAGATTTTCTAGAGTCAGAGTCGTCGGGCAAGAACGGCTCTCTGATCCCTATGGAGGGCGCGAAGCAGCATGTGTTGGGAGCAAACCCTTCAGATAGAAAGTCTCCATGGGTAGAAAACCAGGATACCAAGAAAAGGGATCTCAAAAAGCAGGTTAGTTGACCTTGTTGTATACGAGGTTGATACAAAGTGGCTAACAATATCAGATTGAGCACGTCCACAGTCTCACCGGTACTCAAGTGAAGACCGCATCTCCCACTGATACCAAATCGCGACGCAGAGCGGACAATAGCCGAGTATGGAATACCGTGAACTTGAGGTGCACTACCTGTCGTGGTAACTGTCCGGTCTGCGGCGTGGCATGCTGCAAATACGCAGACGCCCAGCAGACCATATCCAAGACAGAGTCAAAGTCGGAAAAGGCCGACCATGCGAGGCAGGGCTTGCAAATGATTGAAGGGCTGGGATCGCATGTCAAAGATATGAGCACGTTTTCCCTATGCAGTGAGCCCGGCGGCTGTGGTAGACATGTTTGCCCGAATTGTTGCGGCAGATGTCCAAGTGTTATATGTGGCGATATCCAATGCAAGGTGATATCCCCCCTGCTATCTCTACTGTGTCCAATCGGCATACGAGTATTTGGTGTTAACAATATACTTGCTATAGGAATGCAAGCCTAACCCCTGGGGAATCTGCGATTGGCACGATTGAGATGGGATATAAACCGGCTTTACTACGAAATACATACTAACATAGGGCCCTTGATCCGATGAAAAGTGCTGAGAGCTTCAATGGACTTTAAAAAAAAAAGAACGAAGGTTGATGCATGCGAAGATATCTGGTCTTATTTCGAATGTCTCGAAGCCAGAATCTATATGGACGAGGGTACCTTCGATGAAATTTTCATGATGTAAACAAAGAAACAAAATAATAATACACGAAAATTAATCTAAGCACCATTAATATTTAATCCATAACATCGTAAATGACCTATTATCCCCAAAAACCCATACCCACCCCGAGATGTCTCATGGAAGTTGAAGTTGAAAACGGGGAAGGGCAGACGAGGTCACGTGCTGCACTTTAGCGAGGCTCCGCACCGCACCAACAATTGTGTCAGCGTTTCGCGAACAGCCTCGCCGCAGCGACCGAAGAAACGACTCAACCACCCAACGCCAACCGACAACATCTCGTTGCGCATCTCCGACGTTCAAGATGCGTACCTACGACGATTCTTTCAGCGGTCAGAAGATCTACCCTGGAAAGGTGCGTTTAGTCCACTTCCGCAACAGGCAGATTTCCATATCGAACATTCGAATCCCTTCGCCTAGGCTAGCCCGAGCCAGCCTTATTCTATCCCCATACAAAACCAAAAAAAAAAATAAGAAGATTTGAGAACGAAAGTGTTGACATTTGTTGGATAATGATAGGGTAAGCTGTACGTCCGTGGCGACAGCAAGATCTTCCGCTTCCAGAATGGAAAATCCGAGTCCCTTTTCCTCCAGCGCAAGAACCCCCGCCGCATCTCCTGGACTGTCCTCTACCGTCGCCAGCACAAGAAGGGTATCTCTGAAGTCAGTACCGCCAAACTTTCCCTATGGTTACAGTTATTTCTTTGGTTTCCCGGACGGGTCCGACGGGACAGTATACGGTCCGGTGATGGAGCATGGACATGTCGATGAGACGATGAGGAAATACCGGAAGGAACTGGGATATATCTGCAAGTGACGCAGCGTGGGACAGGACCAGAAATGCTGACGGGATATTTTTCAATACAAACAGGAAGTCGCTAAGAAGCGTACCCGCCGTGTCGTCAAGTCCCAGCGTGCTATCGTCGGTGCTTCCCTCGAAGTGATCAAGGAGCGCCGCAACCAGCGCCCCGAGGCCCGTGCCGCTGCTCGCCAGCAGGCCATCAAGGACGCCAAGGAGAAGAAGGCCGCTTCCGAGAAGGCCAAGAAGGCCAACAACGCCGCCGGCAAGGGCACTGCCCAGCGCATCCAGAGCAAGCAGGGTGCTAAGGGCTCCGCCCCCAAGGTCGCCGCCAAGTCTCGTTAAGCGGATTGGAAGCGGTTTGGCTTGGGCTGGGGAGTAGGAAGGAATTTGGGAGCTGGAATTTGTGTTTTCCTTCACAAAATTATATGCAATAAATCGGCGTATGTGCGGACGAGATTCCCGTACGGCTCTCAGATAACCTCTTATGATTGTGCGCCATGGTATTTACCAGGAAATGGAAAAATGGATGTGACATGATCGCCTTTTTTGTCGCTCTGGGCCTGTAGATTCCTGTACGGGTTTTTTAGTTTACGAAGTGACATAATGTCATAATTGGTTTTAGATTGTTCTCAGGATATTCCTTTACCTTGTAAGGTCTCTGTCCAATACATGCTCCCGTTCGTGGTTGGCTATGTAAAGAGCTGCCTGGTGCCTGCGCGACTATTCTTCCTACGTGACGGTACGAATAATAGACTATCTTTACCACAATCAGCCTTAGATCCATACTCGAATATCGACATTATAGCATTATTGTGATCCTCTAATATGTTGTCTATGAAATGGATGGCAGGAACACCATCCTAACTCTATCCAATGGAGAATGCTCGCGAATACCTTTGGCAATCAAGTCAAGAAGAGCATCGACATCTCCTGAATATACCAGCTTCTCGAAGTCCGACCATGAAGAGGGGGTTCACTAGTCGGGAGCCACTCGTTCCATGCACCGTCAAGTGGCCACCCCTATGTCGAGTAACCCTGAATGAATCGGTCCCGAAAGCAGCCCAAAATGTGCGAGCCAATTCGCCGAGCAACTGTGTCCCGAACATCAGGCTAAACCCGAGCCAAAATTCTTGGGAAGGTCATTCATGAATTATGAAGACCCCAGACGAATCCTGAACTATTTATCAGAACGCCAATAGAAGTCCCTTAATCACAGATCTCTAAATTTTTAATAGTAATGCGCCATTTCCAGGCCGGCACGCTTAAAGCCACACTTGAGGTAAAAGCCCTCATTGTGTTCCGAGCAGTCAAGAATACTCTAAGAACCAAATTAGCAACGAGAACATCCCAGAGAAAAGGGGGTGATGTTTCGATCGTACCTTGTAGCAACCAACGTTGGCAGCCACATAGTCCAAAGCCTGAATGATCCGCAAGCCCAGCTTCTTTCCCTGCTGCGACTGATCAACGGCAATGTCTTCGATATGTCCAACCATGCCGAGGGAGTGGATGAACTTCCGCTCGACAAGCAAACTACCGGTACCGACGACACGGTCGGCAGTGTCACAGATAACAAGCAGATAATATTCGTCATTACGGGCAGAGATCCAGTCGAACCGCTGGTTCCACTGTTCCTCGGTGATATCACCGACGGTGGTCAGCACACGGAGGACATCGAGGAAACCCCGTTTGTAGTCGGAGCGGCGAACGGGGCGGATTGTGTAGCCTTCTGGGAGAGCGGCGACCACTTCAGGAGAGATCAGGGAGACCGAGAAGAGAGGGGCGTCCTCAGTTTGGGAGTTCATGGTGGCTTTTGTGGTAGGGACCGCGACGGGGGTGGGAGCAGAGATGGTGGTGGTAAGGTTGGTCATCGTGGTTAAGTAGAGAGTTGTTTCGAGTAGCGGGAAGTCAAGGTAGCGAGCCGGAAAGATTGGATCTTAATCTGGATGATCGGTGGAACTAATTCGATCACTGTCCGCTGCGCGTTTTAGGGGTAAATAGACTATGCGGTGTGAAACAGTGGGGGTCGGCTCCGAATAATCTATGTTTCAACCGAACAGGAAAGATTGAACGAGGGACTGCAATGAGAGAAAGAGCGAGTCTTCTGTAGATCGTCAATGAACTGCAATACTATCGAATGGTGAATCTTTGGAAGAAGGAAGTAAGAACAGACTGAAGGGGGCGAGGGGCAATCGAGTATTTATCGATAAACCAAAATTACTTACCCTACATTTATTTTAAATTTTAAGGTTGGGACCTGAGGCGCTCGATACCAAAGTATTGAAAAACAAAACGAAAAAAAATCCCTCAATATTGAGACCAGACACAAAGGGTAAGATTAAGAAAAGGAAAAAAAAAATTCTTCGAACGCCTTAAGCTCAGCCTCTTTGTCTTGTACAGGGGTATCTCAGAACTAAGATATGCATGCATGGAATCGAGCTACTAATAAAATCCTGTTATTCTACAGGGCATTGGAGGAGCGCACTATCCCATTGGCGCAGCTACCAATCGCATTCCAAAAATAACTTCAGGAAAAACAACAAAAAAATAATATCTTATTCTCCACCAATTCTAAAAATAAATTCATACCATAGCATTTCGATCAGTATACACTACGTACTTACTACGTACATCAAGACATATATATAAAGATGCTAATTTCGCTATATTTCATACTAAAACAGGCAACCTTCAGCCCTTTTTGTCATCCAGGTATCAAAACGTCCACCTTTATTTCTTCTCCTTAGGAGCCAGCATCAGCTCAGGGCGGACATGCTTATCGAAGTCCTCTTCGCTCAGAGCTTTGAGCTCCATGGCACTCTGCTTCAGGGTAAGGCCCTTCTTGTGGGCGTTCTTGGCGACCTTGGAGGCCATGTCGTAGCCGATAACGGGATTCAAGCATGTGACAAGCATTAGACTAGGAAGGAGTTAGCTTAGTTCAATCATGCGGTTGGGCGTATAAACGAAGAAACGACATACCTCTCGTGGAGCAGACTGTTGATTCTCGGCTCGTTCGCCTCGAGACCGTGCACCAGGTTCTTCTCGAAGCTCTTCATGCCATCCGAAAGGATGCGCGAGCTGTGCAGAAGGTTGCGAATCATAACGGGCTTGAAAACGTTGAGTTCGAACTGGCCGTTCATGCCACCAACGGTAGCAGCGACATGGTTACCCATAACCTGCGCGCAAATCATGGTGAGGGACTCGCACTGGGTGGGGTTCACCTTTCCGGGCATGATAGAGGAGCCGGGCTCGTTCTCGGGAAGAACCAGCTCGCCCAGACCGCAGCGAGGTCCGGATCCGAGGTAACGGATATCCTGGGCGATCTTGAACAGGGAGCAGGCAAGGGTGTTCAGGGCGCCCGAGGCCTCGACGATCGAGTCGTGGGCAGCAAGGACCTCGAACTTGTTGGGAGCAGTCTTGAATTCAGTGCCGGTCAACTTGGTGACTTCGGCAGCAATAGCCTCGTCGAAGCCCTTGAAGGTGTTCAGGCCAGTGCCGACAGCAGTTCCACCCTGGGCGAGGTAGCGGAGGTGGGGGAGGGTGTTCTCGACGCGCTCAATATTGCGGTCGAGCTGAGCAACGTAACCGGAGAACTCTTGGCCGAGGGTGAGTGGGGTAGCATCCTGCAGATGGGTACGACCGATCTTGATGATTTTCTCAAAGTTCTCTACCTTCACCTGAAGGGCATCGCGAAGGCTCTTGAGGGAAGGCAGTAAGGTGCTCTCGAGCTCCAAAACAGCAGCGATGTGCATAGCGGTCGGGAAAGAGTCGTTGGAGGAGGCAGACATGTTCACGTGGTCGTTGGGATGCACGGGCTTCTTAGATCCCATCTTGCCACCCAGAATCTCAATGGCACGGTTCGAGATGACCTCGTTGGAGTTCATGTTGGACTGAGTGCCGGAGCCAGTCTGCCAAACGACGAGGGGGAAGTGGTCCATGAGCTTGCCTTCGGCAACCTCGGCGGCAGCCTGCTGGATAGCCTCACCAATCTTGGGGTCTAGCGCACGTAAAGTGAACGTTAGGTTTATCTTAGGTTGACATGTTAAAATGGGCTTACCAAGGCCGAACTTCATGTTCACAGCAGCAGCAGCACCCTTCAGGATACCGAAAGCCTTGACAACGCCCTCGGGCATGCGGTCCTGGGGCTGGTTGATGTCAAAGTTACCCAGGGAGCTATTTTCGTATCAATTAGCCTCCGTATGTATACTCTTGCTCATGGGTGAGCTTCTTGAGACGGCCTCTTACCGCTGGGTCTGGGCACCCCAGTACTTGTCGGCGGGGACCTATTATGATCTCCAATTAGACCTTTTAAAGGCAACTAGGTATAGAACAGGAGATATACCTACCTCAATCTCACCGAATGCATCGGTTTCGACACGGGTTGCCGAAGCCTGTGTGGGAAAGAGCCGTCAGTATTGTGCGTCCACAGTCGTCCTCTTCCTCTAAAAGCGAAGCCATCGCCACAGCATTGAACCCGAGAGTACAGTGACTAGACATGCTCCCGTCATCAAGCCATGTATGCGTACCATTCTTGCGGTTGTACCAAAAGCTCTCTTGCTGGAAATGGTGTTGAGAGACTGAAGGCGGGGGAGCTGGAGTTGTCGGCTATTGGTGCTTAAAGAGCGACGGCAAGCGAGAGAAGCGGGGGGACGGGCAGCACATGCTAAAGCAGAGCGCGCGACTGCGGGGGTGCTTCGAGATGCTACTTGCGCCAGAGAAGCCATAGAGCGCACCGCGGCTCGGGAGGAGTTGGAGGATGTCAACATGACGGAGCTGATCGTAAGATAGTTCTTAATTTAGCTTCGCACTCGATTGGTCAATGGCTCTCGGTAGGGTAGGGTAGGGTAGGATATGGAATGATCAATGGTCTGATATACATACCTTCTATTATCTATGTCTATATGAATCACAGTAAAAGTACAAGAACAAAAGGGAGGAAAGGAAAGCAAAATCGGACAATTAATCCATCGCTTTTCCGATTCCGCTGCCGAAATCCCCCGGCCCGGTAACGCGATGACCATACACAACGGACAGTTAACCTCTTAAGAAAATCCCGGTTCTGTACGGTATGGTAACATTTCTCGCCGGGTAAACCATGGCCCAAGGTCCTCTATACTATGGATGCACTGTACGGAGTACAGTACTTAATACTACCGATCACACTGGATTTCTGTCTTTCTCTCCTGGGCGGAGTACAGATCTAATAGCAGCTTGAGTTAAGTAGCCCAAATTAAAAGCAGTCTCAGTTAACTATGTGGAGTATATGTAAACTATGCCTATTTAAATATATAGAGACGTAGATGTCGTTCTAACTATATTATTCTTCTATGATCTAATTTATTGCTCAAATTATTGCATCTTTGTAGGCCATAAAATACTAGAGATAGATTAAATCTTATTTATTGTGAGCCACATTGACTTTCCTGACCTAGAATTGGCGGAATTGTTCGCTTGATTGATGGAGACATCCCCAAATTGTGAATCAGGATGATGACGCTATGGCGAACTCTTTTATAATTCTGTAATGCGATGTATTTGGCTGGTTTTGTTCATGATAGTATCTCGGGCCATACTGACTTGAACGGCGTATATCTATAAAACTATCAACTTGATCAACTTGCTCGCAAGTAAGCTATAATCCTAAAATCTACTATCACTTTTCCAAACAAACCTCTTAACTTAGAATAGGCCCTTGCCTACATGACCTATGAGCTCTCATCTTAACCGTGTCATGTCTGAAGTTAATTCTGTAATAATGGCATTGACTAACTTCTGTGTATGTTCCTTTCCAGAATCAACGGACACAGAAAACATACTCTTGCAGGTAAATATACAGACTCGCTTAGAATTTTAACCCAGAGTGGAGCCTGTGACCTTGTATACCAAAAGCTCTTTATGGTTCTTGGTATAGTCTATCATAAGTCCGGCTGGTGGTGTCAATCTGGAACATGTCCTCGCCAGCTGGTTGTTCCGACAAAACATCTATTGACAGATCAATTCACAAAAAGCAAGAGATTCTAAAAAGGTTCTGCTTAGTTCCATATACCAAGGCTATCTAAACTTTTCATAGTTCAATGTGCCGCGTCAATATCTTCTTATTATCAAAATAGTTTCTTCTCACGAATTGGACTGTGTATTTCCTACAATATAGATATAGGCTTTTACGTAGCAAATATCAACATCAAATACTTCATTAACAGAGAAAGCAACCGCGCGTATTTCTCACTCATGCCAGCCTATCATCTTTATAACTTTTAAAACTATTGAGATTAGACTCAGTATTTTTTTTTTTTTTTTTTTTTATTTTTTTGCAATGAGCTCATTTCTCTTGATATATTCCAGGTTATTGTTAGTTTACTTACTGACCAACGTTACCCTTGTACTATGTGAAAATATTGGATAGGCTTAGGCTGGGTATGCCAAGTTTCAACATATATAGACTAGTTAGGTATTCTGCATATCAGTTGTATATATTCAGAGTGAGTACTATCAACAGTTTCTAGCCAAGCAAAATTGATCCTAGGCCAATACTGTATTTCTCTCAAACATAAACAATGTGGTCAAATATTTCCTGGGAGAACGTTGGGTCCGAGAAGGCTTCTATGGGCGATATTATTTCTTGTATGGATTGGGCATGCAGTACTTGGTGGCTTGACTAGATTGTCACAAGTAGATAAGGTATAAGTGAAATAATGCTTTCTATGTCACGCCTCTCTAAGTCACCTCTAGACTTGACTCAATAGCGACAGACGTTTAACTGACCTGGTAAGGCGTTCAGTCACCTGTCTGACTAGGTATGGGACACAATATGCCTAGTCAAAGCTAGCCTTGGGCTGCGTCTTAGTGAGTCAGACTATCCTGGTAGTACTATCCTAGCGCTTAAGCTAGGGTTCTTGGGAGATCTCTTATCATTGACCTTGTCCTGTTGATCATCCTACACCTGTCCTCCTACGTCAGCTATCCCGCTTCAAAGGAGCCACAACCATGTTGCTTAATAAACAAGGCAAAGTATGTTTTACAGAAAAGCATATTAAGGTGCTTCAGTTCCAGTCAAGAGGGACCTCCAGCTCTAGTATCTAGCTAGGGGAACCGCGGCATATAGACAACTGGCGTATGTTGAACCAAAACACAGTTATATCCACGAATCCTGAGACTGGCTGGGAAAAATACCTGTAAGGTTTCAGGTAAAAGATATAAATTGGGCACTTGCATAGAACCGGCGCATAATCGAAAATTCAATGACAGGTAAAAGAGCTACTGAAGGGGTTATTATCTTAGGTTTACCAATTCTAGTAGTATGCCTAGCCGGAACTCTCTCGTTTTTGGCTAGATGGAGGTGACACATATGTGGTTTCGGCAGAATGTAATCATTCTTCTTAGGGATGTATGCGAAAAATACCCAAAAAGTGGTTGCTGTTTGGCTGTGTCTGAAAGGCAGTTATAGCTAGTACCTGAACATGGGAGGGGAGGGAGAGTTTTTGAATGGGCCTAGGAGCGATACTGCAGATCGTGCAACACATATGGATACTATCTATAATATCGTCTTGATTTGTTCGTCAATTCATTGGTCGGCGAAATAAAACCAATAGAACTAGCTTTCTGAACCAAGATGGGGGGAGCTGCTACTGGTATGAGGTAGTATGAGGCACCATAGGCCTGCGCGTCATTCCTCCTCGACAATTAGCGGTCTCCAGCTTCTCCGCATACGCTTCTTCTTCGTCTCGAAGAAGTTACTCATAGTTTGCTTTAGGGTCAAAAAACGGACTCTTGGCTTTCCTCCTTCAGTAATGCGGTATACGTCACCACCTATAGCACGATCCGAGGTCAAATATTTCGACGGATTTTTTCTGAACTCTTCAATTGGCATTTTCATGTGTATGAAGATGACCTACATTGTATTTGCTGTAGCGCTCGACGTAGGTCGAGTAGAAACGAGCGAGCAGCTGGGGAGGAACGTTGTTTGTAATGTAGCGGTTGAATGAGGGGTGTAGACGGGATGAATGCAGGTTTTCCCTGATACTTCTTGATGTCGATCAATGAAGATTATACAATAAAATAGATCGATATAATCTCGAAAGCACAGATCTCTACGGCGAAGGGACTCATTCGATAGTGGATATACATATATCTCCCTCTGTTATCAGCCGGCATGCTCTCGAATCGGAGCAGGTTGGTCCTCCATATAAATCCAGTCAGCAGCATACCTTCTTCCCGCAATCTGTCTTTACTCCATCTACTATCAGGCCCTGGACGGCCTTACCACACATCATTAATTGGACTACTTCGATGAACTCGGGGTAGACTATCGAGAAACTTTATGTATGTGGTCATCTGGATTGATAATTTGCTCATGCTAAAACATCTCTTTTGAATCCGGTCTATGTCCCCGTAACAGTATGAAATAAGATATCCACTCGAGACATAAACCATTCCACACCCTGGTAGGAAATGTTGCATATGGCTGGTCAGTCAGAGACGATGTCGCTAGCTATGTCATTAACTCTGTCTCTACCGGTGCCAACCAAGGCATTTCCTGAAAGAAGAAAAAGCTGTAAGCGAAGGAGGGAAAACAAAAAAGGAAAAGAAAAAGGATTACTGAGTATTGTAGATAGTACTCCCCCTCCATCTGTCATGATCTAATTCGTTAAACCTAGAAAAACAACCCTTTGGATGGGGTTGAAGTAACCCTGAGATGGAAGAACCATTCACCTGATAGGCGAAATCCTCTATACTAGGTAGGTCTCTCTTAGGGTCAGGTGCTCTGAATATACATGCAGCATTGCCAATAATGCGTGTGATCTCAACAGCATCATCATTGAAATGGATTTAACAAAGAGAATACTTCGCTCTTGACCAGTCAGAGCCACTCTATCTCTATGGGACGACCCACAATGGATTAACCTTCACTAAGCGCGATTTTCCGTCCGGTTAAGGCAGGAGATGGCAAAAGGTGATGAAACACCCAAAAGAGAAGAAAAGGAAAAAAAAGGACCCGAACATAGTATTTAATATTAGCGGTTCACTAGGCCGGCGGTATCGGCCAATGCCACTACTAATGTATCACACTAACCATTCAGTCAAGCAGAAATCCATTTCTGTTATTTAATTATTTATCTTGGCGGTATAGACAATTCCTCGCCCTCTACGTACTCCGTACCTACTATATCTAACCAGAAGCTGCTCCACTTCTTTTTTCAAACCCTTGTTCTCCGCCACCCGAAAATTCCCCAGAGAGAGACCAATTGAGTGAACTTTCGTGAGATTACTTACTATATAACGTCATAACCCACCATGACTGTTCTAAGCACCTTAGCCCCGGTGCCGGCGGACGAGATCTTTGCCTTAAACCGCGCCTACGCCAACGATAACTACCCCAAGAAGGTCAGTCTGGGCGTGGGTGTCTACCGTACAGATGATGGCAAGCCATGGCCGTTGCCTGTCGTGCGCGAGGCCGAACAGCGCCTGCTTGCCGACGACAACCTCTTCAGACATGAATACACCGCTATCGAAGGCGACATTCCCTTCCTCGAGCTGGCTCGAGACCTGATGTTCGGATTTGATGCGAAGGACACCTCGGAGAAGACCAAGTCGACCAAGGGCCGCATCGGCTCTGTCCAGGCCGTCGCAGGAACCGGAGCCAACCACCTCGGCGCCGTCTTCCTCTCACATCTCATGAAGCCTAAGAACGTCTGGCTCTCCAACCCGTCTTGGGCCAACCACTTGACCATCTGGGAGCTCGCGGGCGTCCCACGGAAGACATACCCGTACTACAAGGCCGCCACCCGCTCCTTCGACTATGAAGGCATGATGGCCACCCTCGAAGCCGAGGCCCAACAAGGAGACGTCATCCTTCTTCACGCCTGCGCCCATAACCCCACCGGTCTCGACCCAAACAAGGAGCAATGGAAGGCCATCGCCGACCTGTGCGAGCGCAAGAAGCTCTTCCCCTTCTTCGACTCCGCCTACCAGGGCTTCGCGTCTGGGTCTGCAGACGAGGACGCCTGGGCCGTCCGGTACTTCCTCAACGAGAAGCCCTCAATGGAAATGTGCGTGGCTCAGAGCTTCTCCAAGAACTTCGGTCTCTACGGCCAGCGTGTCGGTGCCTTCCACTACGTCCTGAACGACGGCTCCCAGAACCTTCGCGACATCGTCGTGAACAATCTCTGCCACTTCATCCGCGGAGAATACTCCATGGGCCCCACTGCTGGCTGCAGCATCGTCAAGAAGGTCCTGACAGACGACGAGCTCACCACCCGGTGGCATGAGGATCTGAAGGTCATGAGCTCCCGCATCAGAACTATGAGAAAGGCGCTGTACGATGAGCTCGTCAGACTCGAAACTCCCGGAACATGGAAGCACATCATTGAACAGGTAGCTATCACAACGTCCACCAAACACGCAGGATGAATACTAACCATCTCCCCCTCCAGAACGGCATGTTCTCCTACACCGGTCTCACCCCCTCCCAAGTCTACGCTCTCAAGGACAAGTATCACATCTACCTCCTCAAATCCGGTAGAGCCTCCATCAGCGGCCGTAAGTCATCGTCCCCTCCCCCTGCACAGCAAAACCCCATCTCCGATACTAATGAGGATGCTCACAGTAAGCGAGAAGAACGTTGCCTACGTAGCTCAAGCTATTGACAACGTCGTCCGCAACGTCAACTAAACAAATCACATTACGATGACGATATCAACGAGGAATGGAGCCACAAGAAAAAAAGAAAAAAAAAAAGAAAATTTTTAAGAAATACGACAACCCGCGACGCCCAGTACATATCCAGCATATCTTTGTCATGTATATGATGGTTCGAAACATATCGGCGCAATAGTTAGCATTCTTTGCTTGCATTTTAGGCGATAAGTTCCTTTGCCGGGGTCGAACTTGTAGTTTCATGTGGACCTTGTGTGTACTAACTGTGCTTTGATGAGATAGATGTATATCTTAGATTTATGACATTTCTATTTCGTGTGAATGATTATTGATGGTTATGAACCGTGGGATCTGTTAAGGCTGTACTACTATGTAGATGGAATACTGTTTCAGATGAATCAAGCAGCATTAGCAGCTACCCCTATAGTACAAGCATATAACAGTGGAGCAAGAAGGTAAAATATGAACCGTAAAAAGAGCATACATTAGAAAACGTCGTGCCGATAAAGACTCATCTACTGGCAAACTGGCTATACAATTACAGGCTCCGATGGAATCAATGTCTTGAATAGAATAAGAGAAATGGAAACAGGGAGAAAAGAAGACGTAAGGAAACCGCTCACATGGACCCATTAAAGAGGAACTTCATTGAAGTCCCCTTCGCCTTCTTTCCCCTTGCCCTTCTTCCCCTCATTACTTGAAGACTCCTCTTTCGTTTCGTCGGCTTTCTCTGGTGTACTTTCTTCCTTCTTTTCCTCATAGTCGGCCTTATCCTCCGCCTTCTCCGACGAGCCAGCTGTCTCCACAACATCAGCCTCCCCATTCTTCTCGGCATGACCGTTTGGAGCCACAGGGGTCGCCTCCTTGGACTCCACAGCCTCATCCTCATCCTTAGGAGGGGGAGGAGGAGGAGGCTGTTCATCACCAGACTCGGACTCCGTATCCTCAGCCCTCGGTTGACCGCTCATACCAGCCCCAGGGAAAGGAGTAATCGGAGGTTCACCAACCGACTCCTGCCTCTCTCTTTCGCGCGTAGGCTGAGGCTGTAAGCTAAGCCTAGATTGCGACTGGATATGGTTCTGAGTATTGGCAGTCATAGTAGACATAGTACGCTGGTGCTGGGAGGAGGCATGAATAGGGCCGAGCTGCCTGGCCTTGGGATCGGCATTTAGATAGTACCCACGAACGCTGACGATAGTACCCTCAGCCTCACAAGCATCGACCCACTCCGGCACGACGACTGGAATATTCATCTCAACAGCCTTCTCCCACAGCGGGCCCCGCCCCTCCGTGCAGACAAAGTGTGTCGTGTCGATGCGGACCGTATCGATCAGCTTACCCCCAATGCGATCCAGCGCAGCACCCAAGGCCTCCTTCTGCTGCGGCGGGAGCACGCCCGCGGTAACCGTGATACCGGAGAGATCGGTCATCTTGTGTGTGCGACACGTCAGCTTTTCCGACTGGTATGTGCCGGCGGTTGTGCGCAAAACCAGGTGGAAGGTGTACTCGGTGTGGATGGCCAGGCCGCTGATCTTGGTGCTGCGTGTCTCAAGGGGTCGCGGTATTGAGCCCGCCTTGGAGCCATTGCGGTAGAGGGAGAGGGATTTCAGGGATGCCGTGGCGAGGTCGATCGGGTCCCATTCTAGCACCAGGGAGGTTTGGGTTGCGTTGCGGAGGCGCAGGATCGGTGGGGAGGGAGTCTTGACGCCGTATGTATTCAGGATACTTTTTTGGAGAGATTGGAATCCGGCAGCGCTGGCTTCTTCCGCGGAGTGGTTGCGCGCTACTGTGATGTCGACGATGCTGCCGGATGTGATGTTGTTGGGGAGGAGGACGGAGGGAAACTCAATCTGAAGTTGTAGTGTTAGTATTTGCAAAATGGGTGAGATTTAGAGGAGCCGCGAATCTAGTGGCATCATTCCATGCTCGAACGGATGAGTTAGGAGTAGGGAGGCCTCTGGGAAGGGATGAAACAGTCGCATACGTCAATTGCAGCGAGAGGGGACGACGTACCAGTCGGTTGTCCTGTGTCAACAGGACGGCGACTCCAGCATCTACCTTGCCTACTGTCAAGGAGACCAGCATTTTGGAGGATAAAGAAGGAAAAAATAAACAGTTAGAGATGACGCATAAGAGAAATGGTAATGGGTGACAGTGAAAGAGAGTGTGGATTGATATCTTGTTGAAGGTACGTGCTACTACTGTTGTTGTCTCCAGGCCCCGAGAAGATCGGCAACTTAGCGAACATGCCAAGGAGGCAGTGCCGCGCGTTATATCTCTCCTGGTGAATGTCCTCCACTATTCTTGTCTATTCAATATCGGCTTGATATCCGGAAACTCTACATGCCTTGACAGAAGACAGGTTCGCACTAATGATACATCTGAAACCATTGTTGTCGTTAATGCGCTTTGGAAATGCGGAGATGATACAGCCAAGCATCCCATACCAAAAACATCGCACGACCACGATGCCCTGAATATATATACATCATCATTAGATTAATTACTAGTAATAGATCTGGTGTTTTCATTTTGACACCTCGGCGGCCTGGTCTTGTGGCGATTTCGCCCGATTGCCTTCATTGATGTTTTGTATGAAGGAGTCTACAAGAGTGTTCATTTCTGCTTGTAGAGTAGGATAATCTTCATGGACACACCGTGGGCGGATAAAGATATCGACTGATCCTACCAAATTGTCATTTTCTCCTTTTGATATCCCAGCGCTTTCATCGATGTTCGGCCCTCTCCTTCGGCCCTCAGCATCAAAGCCACGCTCTTTCAGCGCGCAGCGAAACGCGAGTCGGACTCTCCGTGCACACCACGACCGAATCACTCGCTTATGTTGTGTTAAATGTTGTGTAGATACCTTCCACCATAATGTATTCCGATCACGGTTGTCGTATAAGTGTTTGATTTTGAAACGGATGGGATTGATCGGAGATGCTAGGTACCGGAGAGCAACAGGAGATATGATATGTTTCGGTAAATACCGCAGAGTAAGAGTATTTGTCGAGTTGAGGAACTTCATGTCTAATGTGACACTGTAGTAAAACGCCTCGCTCTTGCGGCGAGGTGGAACGGGAACCTAAGGCACTGATGCTAAACGGTGTCACTGTAAAGCGTTGCATTCATTGTTCGCTTCGAAGACACTAGCCCATTTAGCAGTGGTAGGAAGCAATGCGCAGATCCTTCGCCCCGGAAATTTTCAAAGAAATAAAAGGTCAAAGAAAGATTCTTTCTTCGTGAGAGAAACATCCAATTCCACCCAAATCGGATGATTTCCATTTCTTTTTCTGCCGAAAGAAATATCCGAGGCGGTGAGAAAAATCGAGTACTATTGGTTGACCCCTGTGGCGCGCCTTAGGCAGACACTCAGGCCGCCACGCCACCAGCAGTCCCCCCACCGATTATATATTCAGAAAAGCGTCGAAATTACTTCCCGCCTACTCGACACTCCCCCACTTTCACTACCCTTGGTCCTTTTGGGACATATACCATTTCTCCTTCTTCCATATCAGACCTTCTGATATTGCATCGAGTGGAAAGTTATCGCGGTTAGCGAATTTCCGTCATGCCCAAGAATAAGGGAAAGGTAAGATTGAGATTCTTTTGAAACAAATCGCCCCCCGCTTTTGTTAGACTTTTCAGTGCCTCCCTTGTGGGCGCCAGTATGGCACCATACCACCTTTTGGATCACCAACCCCCTTAATTGGGAGGTGATATCTAGGCACACAAGTTACTGGAGACTCTTCGAATCGTTTTAAAGCAGGGGCAACTATACAGAGCATAGGTTAACAGTACTTGTATAGGGCGGTAAAAACCGTCGTCGTGGAAAGAACGAGAACGACAACGAGAAGCGTGAACTAGTGTTCAAAGAGGAAGGCCAGGAGTATGCCCAGGTCGTGAAGATGCTTGGTAACGGCCGTCTCGAGGCTCTGTGTTTCGACGGTGAGAAGCGTCTGGCGCACATCCGTGGCAAGCTCAGGAAGAAGGTCTGGATTAACCAGGGCGACATCATCCTTCTCTCGCTGCGTGATTACCAGGACGAGAAGGGCGACGTGATCATGAAGTACACCGCCGATGAGGCCAGAAGTCTCAAGGCCTACGGTGAGCTGCCCGAACACGCCAAGATCAACGAGACCGATACCTACGGCCACGAAGGCTTCGAGGACAACGTCGAGTTCGACGAGGACCGCGAGAGCGAAGACGAGAAGGAGATCGATGTCGACGAGCTCTAAAATCCTTCATCCCTTTGGATTCAACCCTGCAAGAGCCACTGGGGGTTCTTTTCGCCAGCCCCTCCTTTCTCTTTCATTTCTCAATGCCAAGCTATTTCCTTTCCGGGAAACCCGAGAGGCGTCCTTCCGTGAAGGATATTTCTTGCGTCAGGCAAGAGCTTGACGGTTGGTTCTTATCATTAGGCCATCTGTTTTCCGGGAGGGAATTGAGGAAGGCCTGGGACTGTTGCCTTCCCGCTTCGCTTGGGGACTTACTGCCACCCCAGTGCTCCTTCCAAAAGTCAGGGTATGAATCATGGGTAGGGAACTCTAGGGGTTCTGCATGATAGCTTCGATGGGCTCTTCGGTCCAAAGATCATGTTTATCGTGAGGGGCAACCTCGGGTTTCCGCAGAGAATTGGTTGCGACGCATATGAAGAGACCGACTGTACACAGCGCGTTTCGTGTTGGCAATTCTTTTGTCTGTTCCCTCTTGCTATTTGGTTCCTTTTTTTCAAAACTTGGATGATAGATTCATGACAAGGTTACGATAATACAAAAAAGTCTGAACGTACACCGGCTATATGTAAGCTCTTCGTATATACATTCCATCCGTAGTCCCTACAGTTGGACTCCGCAAGGCAGTAGACAGTAGATGCAAGTTAGCTTTCATCAAAGACGCTTTTCCGAAAGAAATTGACAATCTTCCGCGCGGCTTCTGTCCCTACGAGAGGACCTAGTTGCTCAACATCCATATTTGCAATCTCCGAAAGATTGCCCGTTTCAAGAATAAGTCGTTCAAGCACATTCGGTGTAACCCCCGGCACGGCTCTGAGCATATCCTGGGGCAGAAGATTAAAGGTACGGTGCTCTATGCCAGCTGCAGCCATGATATCACCGGAGTCAGCAATATCCATATCTAAACCGATCTGCACTGCTCGTATAGGGTCTGGCTCTTGGTTATTCTTCTTGAGTTCCGCGAAAATTTCCGCGGTCTGATAAGGAGATGATGACCAGATGACCTTCAAACGAGGAAATGCGAGCGTAAGCAGAACGAGGAGGTGCTGGGCGGACTTTGGGCTAGATGGGTTGACGAGTGAACTGCTGGCAGACAAGGTCGTGGTCGCAGTTCCGGAAGAAGAGAATCCATAATCAGTTAAGAAGGTTGTTCCTGGAGTTGTTGCGGACGCGAATGCATCAAAAGTAAACGACTTGTTTTGGTCGAATTCAATCAGGAGGAGAGGGTTTTTGTAATGCTGGAGCATCGTCTCTGCTTGGTTGTAGAGACGACCGTTTCTGAGGGAAGAGATCAAGTCACGAACTGACTTACGCTCAACGCAAATGTCCGGTGTAAGGATGTAATCGCCCACTGTTAGCTGACACGGGACAATGATCATATTATTACCGTGCAGTAGTGACGGGAGTGCGCTTCTGAACTCTCGTACATCCACCACGACTCGAGGAGGCGACGCAGTTGCAGCTAGCCGACCACCTCCAGCAATACGTGTGTTAACTGTGCGAAGGAATTGTTCTTGTGGATCTTCGAGACTCTTGTCGTGTGTGATAGTAATGGCCATGTTCTGTGTGTATCGTGTTAGAAGATGAATTCGTAGAAATGCTTGCAAAGAGTCAACTTACGCCCTTCTCTTTGATGAGTTTTGTGAATGAGTCTTTCTCGCGTCGGACTGCGCTAAGGTAGCGCTGTTCTTCGACGGATCCTCCGTAGTACATGAAGTACACTCGTACGTTCCGTCCAACGTGAGAACTGCGGTAGACCTCGACCCTCCGGATGAACGCTGGATCAGGCTCATACATGATGATGTACCGCGGCCGCACTTCTTCTAAGATATGTTCGTCCAAGTCACCATCATATGGATGTATTACAACCAGATCATCCATATCGCACAACTCAAAGAAACCATCCATATCCTCCAAATTGTCAATTATGATTTCCTCTTTTTGGATCTCCTCAATTTCTGTAGGTTGAATTTCTTCCAGCAAGTTCGAGACTTGGCCGGGTAGTTCAACATCTGTCTGGACACTACTATTTGGTACGCGGCCAGAGGCGGATGTCACTGCACCCCCACCACGAACCCGGCGCCGCTTGTTTAGAGGAGCTCGTCCTTGTTGGGCGGATGGTCCTGGTGAGTCTTGTTGTTTCCCAGCCTGTTGCTCGTCAGGTGTTGGCTTCGACGATAGATTTTTCGTCACATTGGACAGAGACGTTTTCCAGCTGAGGTAGGCCCGCAGCCTTCTGCGCATCATGATATCTGCAGAGCCCTTCTTAGTACTATTGGCAATATCTTTGTCTTCCTCGCTCTCGCCATCTATATTAGCATGCATTGTCCCCAGGTACTCTCGAAGCTGTCGGCAAGTTTTTTGGTCCGTGCACATGATCAATACAGTACTGTTCGATTCATCCACGTTGACTGGGTTGAGATATGCGTCATTTTCTATCTCTTCGAGTACTTCTGCCAGAACTTCCCACTTAGGTTGTTCCTCCAAGACAGGTTGAAGGGTAGTAGGGAATGCGTTCAATGAGGCGCAGGCCACGTCGTTGCTTATCTTCCCTTGATACGCTCTAGATTTTGCTGTTTGAAATAGAACGTGAGCTGCATCGAGGAACAGCCATGGTGAATAGTTATGCCTCGTCGAGCCGGGCGGAGGAGAGTGTGCAGTTACGATTGTATCCAGATATTTCACGAAGGACACAGCATCGTACGTCAATAAAGCACTGATACCAGTTTAGAGGCTAGCGATGAGCGAGGGTTTGTCTACCGAACTCACTGAAGGATTGCCCTGAGATCGCTCAGGTCGCTAACAATCTGCCTAGTCCTGAAAGTCACCCGATGCCATATAGGGTCCAGTTGTCGTCTGATCATTATGTCAAAGCTCCTATGCAGGGCACTGTCCAAGGTCCAGTCTGCCATGTCGAGGCCTGTATTTGCTTTCTTCAACTCTCCGATGCATATTTCCACACATTCAAGGACGGCATTCTGCATTTCACGCATCTTGTCGCTCATCGGAACCTCCAGCTCAATGACCTCAGCCTTTCTGTGGCCTTCAAGGGACTCGGCAACGGTGACATGAAATCGGGGCCATAATGAGGCTTTGCGAAGGAAAAGGTTGCGCATGGAATTGGCCAAGGGTGCGAACCCCGTTGTGAAAGGCTCAGGAGAGTCTGAGAATGCCTTCAGAAAACCAGTCTTGTTGATCTGTCTAAATATTCGAATGATGAAGGCTTCGGTCGAGGTTGCCAAAATCCTGAAATGTTAATTAGTAAATATCCGGTGTAAGGTTCAAGGCAGAGTTCTTTACTTGTCGGCATGAAGCACAACCATCCCCGTAATCTTCTCGGGATCAAGGAGCTCTGGTAAATATATGTTAGTAGGCTCCCACCACATAGCAAGCAGACCTATCTACATACTTGACAGTAGATCCACAACCAGTATCCTGGATGTCACACTCAGAATACCGCCTTGGGCATAGATCTTCTCTCTCATGGAAACCGTGGCTCTCTCAGTGTTGATCACCTTAAGACCCCTAGCCAAAGGGGTTTTGCTAATGGCGTAGTGCTCCGCCAGTGCTGTATGAGCAATTAGCGTCGGATTGCTTTACTCGAGGTGTTATGTCATGCCTTCCCCAATCCATTCGTTCTCTCGATCATCGGCACCTACTACAAGCACTAGGTTGTTCCCTGCAGCATCATAGAAATGTAAAAGGTTAGTCACTAAGCGCAAGAGCCCAAGGCCCCGGGCAAGGACGACCAATTCATCCTCGGAACGCAGTTCGGTGAAGATGTCCTGCTGATATTGCTGGAGTTGATGTTGTCAGACATACCGAGGGGACTTCCAGTGGATATATGCAATAATTCAAAACACTTACCAAAGGCAAGGACAGCTTCACCGGGACATTTGTACGTTCCGGCGGCATGAGGAGCCTCTTAACGCGACAAAGACATGACCAATTGTCGCGAAATGGGAAGGAAAGTGAGCACGCGGTCACGTGCCTATGATGTAATTCTGCGTCTTGTCGGGTCAAGGAAAATCATGAAATATAATCTGAATACATTGGCTAAATAGTAGTGCGGATTTCAAGTCAAAAGAATAGGGTGGCTCATTCTACGCATGAAAATCATATGAAAAACTGAGCCAATGGTGGATTATACATGGAATTGCTACATGGGAAAGCATATATGGAGTACAAAGAAGACCAATCTTTCCGCTGTCTTTACCCCATATGAAACTGCTACCTTACTAAATTCTCATCAAGGTAGTCAGTCTATCGAATGTAACTGTCTTATTTATTCAGCTCTTTTTTGCGTGCTTCAATCTCCTCCCTGGAAGCTTTGGGTGGCATATCTACAGAAGTCAGTTAAATGACATATTTGATACACGATCTACAAACCACCACTACTTACTGTCCGGGATCTGTGGCCCTTTCGACAGAAAATCCTGAGCAGTGGCCTTTTGTTGTTCATTCTGGTTGGAGCTATTGCCCGTTGGGGGGATGTTTGTAGTGTCAGAAGGTATGACTGGCATGTTCGGTGGAGTATATATGATTCAATGGATCTCCTTTTTAATAAGATTAATAAGACTGAGGGTATTAGTACTGGTGAGTGAAGATGTTATATGGGATGTTCTCTAGTGAAGTATGTACATGTCGGGGTTGGTTGTTTATATACTGAAAGCAAACGGGGGATGACGTCGATTGGAAATCAAGCCACCTGACAATTGACTTAATTCAACTTACACAAACCAACATTAATCTGCTCTTTTCGGTAGATATAAGTTGAAGCCACAGTAATAAGTGGAAAGATATCATAAGTATTAACCATAAACAATTGATTCGCGATAGATGAGTATATTAGTCTACCTTCTTTTCTTGGTACAGTACTCTACTAGACAAAACACCTTGTATAAATGGGCAAAAAAGCCAAGTCCCAATTCGAAAAAAGAGAGCCAAATAAAATAAAACTGAAATAAAAACATCTGTACCTTGTGTGTTTACACTTAAATAATGCCTTACATTCCCTCCTAGTTCCCCACTCGGGCCTTAAGTGGGACTGGAAATGGAGTTAGTGGTCCTCCTAACCAGAGACTTAGCGGTACTACTGGTGTGCCTCTCTCTTGTCTCTCCCTCTTTCTGCTACTTGACCTCTTCTCTTGACACACACCCACCCCCTCAAGGCTGATATCTCCAACAAGCAACAATTCAACCCTTCGTAAGCATACCCACTGCTCGTTCACGGCTCCAATATTTCTCCTTAGTTCACTTTCAGCCAATCTTCTAACCCTCGATCGAACGCCCGGGAGAAGTTGCCCCTCCCGCGAGTCTTGTCTCTTGGCCGCATCAGCGATTACCCGTGCCTGGAAGTCAAGTGCACATTTACCCTTCTGCCTGGAGCGACTTCACCGACTCCTGCAATGTGTCATAGAGAAGTTCCTTAAGAAACATCAACGGCGCTTCATATCCTCTAATCCGTTCCCGGTCTTCCTGAACTAGCTCCCCGCGGTCCGTCATGCCATCCATCCTCAGTGACGCCGACAAAGAAACCGTCAAGAGGACTGTCCCCAAACCTGCGAATAAGATCCACGCTGTAGCTGTCGCACGACTATATGTCGCTTATCCAGATCGTCAAAAATGGACATTCACAGGTCTCCAGGGTGCTGTCGTCCTGGCCAATGATTTAGTCGGGCGGACCTTTTGGTTGAAGCTGGTGGATGTATCGGTGCGTGACTGTCTATAGAGTATATGATAGATATATTGCTAACTGTTCCGTTCGTTCCGATTCACAGCCCGCTGGAAGAGGTGTTATCTGGGATCAGGAAATCTACGACAATTTCCCCTACAACCAAGACCGAACGTTCTTTCACACTTTTGAGTTGGAAGAATGTGCGGCTGGTCTATCCTTTGCTGATGAGAAGGAAGCTAAAACGTTCATCAAGAAAATACAAGAGCGGGAGAAAAATGCGAGCAAAGAAACCCGGCAGACACCTTTTGCATCCACGCGTGGCCAAGGCCCTGCTCCGATGACGAATGGCAAACATGGAGTCGGACGATCGATTTTCGGTAGCCTGCTAGGCCATCGGTCAACATCAGGGTCAAGTGCGCCTCCACCAGTCGCACCTGCAGAGCTTCCTGCTGCGCCTTCAATCCAAGTTGCTCCACCTCCACCAAGCAGTCCCCCGCGCAAACAGTTACCCTTCGATACTAGTGATCCTTCATGGAAAGGTCTTCTAGACGAACTCTTGCAGATGGGAATTACAGAAGATCAGATCGCGGATAATTCGGACTTTATCAAGGCATACATTGAGCAAAAACAAAGCAACGCTACCGATACTGCACCGTCTTCAGTTGAGGACAAAAGGGGCAAAGCTCCACCTCCCCCTCCTCCATCAGCGCCTCCTGCTCCTAAGCCGAGCACTATCAGCCCGCAACACACCGGTAACAGTACTGGTAGTGGTGGTCGACGAGGTGCTCCACCACCACCTCCGCCATCACGGAGGACTCGTCCTGAAGCAGAGGAAGATTCGCCTGCGCCCAATCGCGAGCCATCTCCTCCCAGAATGAGATTCCGAGCGCCGCCTCCAATTGCAGATGCTGGCAAATTTGCGCACAGTAATGGCCCTCCTCTTCCTGGTCGACAAAGAGCACTGTCAGGCGCGAACTCCGGGCCTCCTCCCCCGCCACGGCCTCCGAAGACCCCTATGGATGACAGCCAGCCTCGGTTTGGGGTGCCTCCGCCTTTCCAAGGGGAGCGAAAGGTGTCCGCTCCTCCAGCACCACCCAGCCGTAGTCCCGCACCTCCAGGGCCACCACCACGACCACCTCCCCGCACGTCAAGCCCTGCATTGCCGCCGCAGCTTCCTCCCAAGGTTCCGCATACGTCGGCCTCGATACCTCCTCCCCCGCCCCCGAGAAGTCCAGCGAGCCAACCCCCTCCACCACCTGTGCCAGCTGCTTCACGGCCTACACCTCCTCCGCCTGCGTCTAATGCTATGCCCCCTCCCCCACCGCCGCCTTCGTCAAGCGTTCCTCCACCTCCGCCGCCACCACCACCACCACCACCACCACACCCATCACCAAGCCCAAGCCCTTCTGCTCCCCCTCCCCCTCCCTCCTCGAGCGGACCCCCACCACCGCCACCACCACCTCCATCAAGCAGAGGTCCTTCGGCTCCTCCTCCGCCACCACCACCGCCTTCTTCCAGTATCCCTCCTCCGCCCCCTCCTTCAAGCAGAGGGCCCCCGGCCCCTCCTCCTCCGCCCCCAGCAGCCGGAAGTGGAGCACTGCCTCCACCGCCTCCACCGCCAGGAGCCGGTGCTCCCCCTCCACCTCCCCCTCCAGGCGGAGCAGCTCCACCTTTGCCTACACCTGCTGGTGGAAGGGACGACCTTTTGGCTGCTATTAGGGCATCCGGAGGCAAAGGAGGTGCAGGCTTGCGGAAGGTCAAAGATAGCGAGAAGAAGGATCGTAGCGAGGCGGCGGTCCCTGGGTCCGCTAATGAGTCATCCACGGCTTCAGCGGGTGGCGGAGCCGCCCAAGGCGGTATGGCAGGCGCTCTTCAGGCCGCTCTTGATAAGAGAAAGCAGAAAGTTAGCGGTAGCGGTAAGTTGGCTGTTTCCTGCCGATTGATCGATAGCGCATACTAATCCACCTCACAGATGACGAAAAGGATGATGACGACGATTGGTAAATTAGGAGTCTACTTCTCATTCTTGCTTCAAGTGTTGCTGTGGGTTAGACCGGTCTAGTTTCGTTTGATACCTACATATTGTAGCGTTGTTCGTCTTTCGATATCCAGCATTGTTCTTCGGCTCAGCAGGTATCGGTTGGATTGATTTCCCGTCAAGGTTCCTCCAGGTAGCAAAAGCTAAAATCTACAAACTAGACTGGGATTTGAAAGAAGCCGCTGTAGAGAGGTAGAAGTAGACGAAATGGTTTGTTGGGGTTGAAGATTTATATAGTTACGGAACATCATTGACCCGAAATGGTCCGCGCGGCACAAGTCAGTGCGGGAAAAAAGGAAGGCCAAACAGTGTTGCGGATTGAACAAGAAGGAGAACGAGACAGCAGTTCTTCTTGATGGTGGCTTGTTCATTCAGGCAAGTCCGAAATGCTATCTCCGCAACCCTTGAAACCAGCAGTCCCCTCAGCGTCGCTTCTCTGTTACCTACGCTCCCAGTCTGAGAATACCCATTTCTTCACATCAGCATGCGGAACCGCTCGAAAGCCCCAAGCTCATAACCAGCCGTCCCGTATGATTTGCCTGAGAAATTCATCTACGTGGACACGTACTACTCCGCTACGATGTCGCGCCACGGTGGATACAAGCATCCTTCCAGCATCCACCCTTTCTAGAGGCCGTGGTTCGCCGCGATGCCGAGCTTCGCCGACTCCATCTACGACCCCAGTCGTCTTGTTTTCGCGGGCTTCGCATACAAAGAGCCGCCCATTACTACGAAGGCTATTTGAATTGAGGCGCAACAGGGCGGCTGCGGATGCTAAACTCAACCGCACTGGCGAACCTACATTAGTCGATGAAGGAACGGAGGGCCTGAATTTCGGACGTGGGTTAGCGGCAAAGGCTTCAAACGAGTTGCGTCTGCGGTGCACTGAGTTTGATAACAACGGTAATGTTACGCTTGTCAATGGAGAGTTTAGGAAGAGTGAGCTCATTGCAAAGGTCGGTACCGTCTTATGGTTGGTGCAATACTACTTGAAATAACGTGAGAGCTAAATGGACTTAAAGTACGGCCTTCTTCCTCGAGACCTTCGCAAGATTGACTCTTCGACTTTGCCTCACATCCTTGTCCGGCCGAGCGCTATCCTCATCAACCTCCTACATCTTCGCGTGCTGATAAAAGCTGATCGGGTTTTGGTTTTTGATGCCTACGGATCAACCGATTCATATATGCAGTCGCTGTTCGTATATGATCTTGAGGGAAAGCTGCGCCAGAAACAAACCCAGGGTGCCGGAGCTCTGCCTTATGAATTCCGCGCTCTCGAAGCTGTCCTGATTAGTGTCACGGCTGGTCTTGAGGAAGAATTCAATGGGGTCAGGGAGCCCGTGGTGCGAGTTCTTCGAGCTCTAGAAGAGGATATCGATCGGGATAAGCTCAGGCATCTGCTCATCTACTCCAAGAGACTGGGTACTTTTGAGCAGAAAGCTCGGCTAGTGCGGGATGCAATTGACGATTTGTTGGAAGCTGATGATGACCTGGCCGCGATGTACTTGACCGAGCGTGCGGACGGTGTTCAAAGACAGGAACACGACCATCAAGAAGTTGAGATGCTTCTGGAGTCGTACCACAAAGTATGCGATGAAATTGTTCAGTCCGGCGGCAACTTGGTGACCGGCATCCGCAATACGGAAGAAGTGTAAGTGATCTTCTTTCTTATATATATGTCTACTTTCACGCAGCCTTGCTAATTTTCGTTTAGGGTGAAAGCCATCCTTGATGCCAATCGGAACTCGCTCATGCTCCTTGATCTCAAATTCAGTATTGGCACGCTTGGTCTTGCAACGGGAACCCTTTTCTCTGCTCTGTATGGTATGAATCTTAAAAACTTCATTGAAGAATCCGACTTGGGATTCGGAGCGGTCTCCGTGACATGTTTCGCCATCACCGCAGTTGTTTGCGTATATGGGCTAGCGAAACTGCGCAAGCTCCAGCGCGTTCGAATGTGGGGCGAAGCTGGCGCAGGTGGTACACCGATGGTTCCACTTCCCACTCGGCATGGCGCACTTACGGGACACCGATCAAATTGGCGAGCGGACTCGATTGAGCCAGTCTGGGGCAGCCTTCCAGGTGAAGGTCGTGCTGAGAGGATCAGGCGTCTCAAAGATGGTGCCGCGGCTGTTGCTGCCAAGTCTGGCGCCACTGAGCCTACAGCACAGAGAGCAGCAACCTTGAAGAACGCGGCAATCTCGCAGCCAAAGCAGGCCGATGACTGCGCAGCATAGCAGGGCTCTGCATAAAACAAGGCTACCTATACTGGGCATCAGTACTTCCCTGCTAGGTCCTTCTACAGTTCACAGGCCTGTCTCCGCTCTTGTCGGCTACGACCACTTTGTACTGGTAATTTGCTATGACCTTCTATTACTGACGTTTCTATCGCATGGTTAGGTGTTGGGTGGTCTCCTTGCTTTTCGTTTGATATCACCTAGACACGCCCTGTTCAAGGGTATAATGGTTAGTGTCTAGAGTCTCTCTTCTCATACTGATAGACAGGCTTCAGAGTTGTCGGCAATTCTTGGAGCAAGGATTTTCTTAATGTATTCATAGACTTAGATCGCTAGGAAATGCTCGCCTCTGTGTACATATAACACCACTCAATATACAAATCCATACTTTTTCAACTCGATTGTTCTGTTTCTACATTCAGCTGTTAGACAAGGTCATCCAACTGGCACGGCAATATTACTCTTACTGTATTTCTGGTTATATACGGTCTTTCATAATACAGATGCTGATAAAATATATATAGATACGGAGGATGAAGATTATACTTACAAATATAATAGCGGATAAGATCTATATAGTTTTTTAGGGTATATCACTTAGATAGAGACAGTATGAGAGCTTAAGCTTATGTGAATCCGGAGAGCCTATAGCTACAGGAAGGTTTGATTTTTATATCAGAGATATATAACATCTATCCCAATCAGATACAGTTAGAACTTTCCAGAGCGATAGAATATGGTCTATTGTTCGCAGTATAATGGCAAGTATCGCTGTTAAAATATATAAAATTATATTAACAACAATCAGCATATAAAATAAGACATACAAACTTTCCAGTATTCAGAATTAATTCTCTAGGGCCGAGAATATGCAACTCAATCCAGCAAAATATTTATTATATGTAAGATATAAAAACATACAACAGCCGGGATTCGCTGGTGGTCACCCACCCAACTACTAACCGGCCGGCGTGTGGCTTAAGTACGGCTGAGCGGACGGGAAGCCCTGTTTTCCACACCCTATGGTCGTATGTGCCTACATTGTTTGACAGAATGGAATATATAGTGCAGAAAACTGTCTTTTACCAAGACAAATATTCTCTCTACTAAAAGATATTAATATATACTTTGCACCTTCTCTGTTGGCGCAAAATTAGTTTGCCTCGCACAATCTCATCGCGAAATTCTACACGTGATCAAGTGAACCGAATTCAATATCAATGATGATAGTATTACAATAATAGGAGCATAGTTAAGATACATCAGATATCAATATACAGCCAGGGAATAACCATGGCATAAGGAAAAGGGGTACTAGTTCTCTGGGGTCGTAAATATCTCTCGTCTCAAAACGGCAATTCAACTATCTTAGAAGCGCTCCAAACCAATTATAAACCCAACCTCTATCTTTCACCCAGCAAGAGCAATAAAGAGGGAGAATTCCGAAAACTCTAGGCTCCGACCAGCGAGCAACGAAAGAACTGCGAGCCATGATTCATCTATTTCTAACAACGACAAAATAAAAGAGAATAGTGTATAATCTACCTAAACTCGCCATAGACATCACATAATCACCTAGGAATTAGACAAATGTCCTCGCTGATTACCCGGCCCCTGTCCTTTATGGATGCCTTTAGCCCGCTCAATCCATATCCTAGCAGCGGCTTCCACGCCTCCATCGCGTAAGCACTCCCTCTGAACCGCCGCCATTGCTCTGTCGACAGCCGAATCAGCAACCGGGCCATCATTTCCATCGGAAACAGATTGCCATTGGCTCCGTAAGCGCCACTCCTTTGTTACTCGTTTCCGGCCGCCGAGGACACCCATGTTGCGGGTACTGGGGATACGAAGGAGCGTCTTTTCGACATCGTATCCGAGTTCCTCGGCGATACTGACTGTCTTCATAGTAAGAGACCCATACATGGACTTATAGAACCCAGCATCAGTCTGCGCCTCTTGTTTCGCCTTCCGGAGTGCCTTCAAGTCGCCCGTTGCCGGCTGATCAGCAACTCCATCCTCACGCTGAGACGCCTCATACCGAGAACCAGACTTCAGCCCCTTAGGTGGCGGATAACGCATCTTCGCGCCCGAAAGCGCATGCGAACAACAGGGTATAGCAATAAACGGCAAAGGCTCCCCCGGACAAGCAAGGGCAGCCATAAGCGGGGTCCAAACAGTCAACTCATCAGCATGATTCGAAATAACAAAAGTATGCCTATCAAACAAGCCCGAATGCGTCTCCACGCTTAGATCCGGCATCTCGGACTCTTTCATCACATCCGAGAAGGGCTTGGGAATATAGATTTCCTCCCTGAGCTGCGCCTGCACGAACTTGGGGAGAATCTTCCACGTTTTCCGCTGGCGGGCGTCGAAGCCCCAGCCCTTGTAGCCTTCCATGAGAAGCACGTAGACGAGCACGCCATTCCCGCATGCGACGTCCACGAAGCCGGGGAAGTTGGCGTCGTAGGATTCCGGGCCGTCGGCGTTGCGCTCTGAAGCGGGGACGGCACCGTACATGCTTCGCCAGAGCTCGATGAGGAAGGCCGTTATTGCTAGGTCCTCGAAGACGTGCTTGGATGGTTCGGTGCCTTCGGCCCAGTCCTCGCAGAGGCTGGAGGCGTATTTCAATTTGAGCCGCGAGTAGGTGTTTTGCACTAGGTGTTGGGGAATTATGTTGTCTTTGGTGGGGTTGTTATTGCCTCCTTCGGGGGATTCAGAGAGGCGGGTGTTGCGTGCGAGGCGGATCTGGGTGTTTAGAAGGGAGAGCAGGGTGCGTTCCAGGCGGGTGGGGATTGGTTCTTCTGGGTAGAGGAGGAAGTGGAGAGATAGGGTTCCTGAGCCTGTGGTAGGTTCTGGAGACTCTGTAGGCTCTGTAGGGTTGTCTGTGAAGTCGTAGAGGTAGGCCAGAGAGCGAAGCAGAGGGTGGTAGAAGGGGATATCCTCCTTCGACGCTACATGGGGCGTATAGACGGCTAAGAAGCGTCTCAACCGGAAGTCGTCACTTGCATCGGCTAGCTCTGCTTCATAAAAATGGCAGGTCTGCTCTAATGGCCGGTCTAGGTTCGGATTCCTGGGAATCAGCCGCCTCACCACCGTTCTGGTTAGGTTGAAACCGGTCACTTCTTTGGCAGCGATGGGTTCTACACTTTCTTCAGTGTCTGGGGTAGCTTCCACATTGTTGCTCCCCGTCTGCGCGAAGGACTGTTCTTTCTGCTGTGGCGTACTCAAGACGCCTTCGCTATCATAGAGGATATCTGCCCGGAACAGATGACTTGAGTTTATGTTGATGTTTCCCAGAAGAAAGACGGTTAGATCCTTCATAACCTCTGGTATGAACGGTAGGTCGTCTTCTATCAAGTCTCTGGATGTCACCCATTCTTCTGTGGGAGGATCACGAAGGATCGATGATGGCTCGAGCGTCTCTGATAGAGGTTTGCCAGAGAGCTTCGTCACGTCTCTGACGGTCTTATTTCTATTATTTTTCATTGTGTGCTCTTTCTGTAGTAAAACAGACAGGCTTTCTGCAGACTTGTAGGTGTTGATTTGTTGGTCTCTGCTGCATCTGCCACCTGCTCGAATGTAGCTCGGGTGAAAGTATATCCCAAGTGCAGTACATTATAGCCTTTTGCTTTCCGTATCGATTCTACGACAATATCTCTAATCGTTCTCAAGACATCATTGGCTGGAGGGGTCAGATTAGTCATTGGGATTGTGATGATGTAATCTGAGGATTCCGCGCTTTCTGGACAATTGATACTCACAATTGAGTACACAGGTCAGGTGCACCTTGGAAAAAGTCGGGCGCCCGCCCCACCGTTCTTGGCAGCTTCTAGGGTGCACCTGACTTTTTAAATACTATACGACATACCACGAAATTTCATTTCAACTTTCCCTTCTATTTTCCCAATGTCAAATAATCTATCCCACTTTGCAAACTGCTTTAGAAGTACTTGTTAACCAGTTGACAACTGCGTACATCAATAAATTATTATGGATTCAGAAGTATCTTTATATAATTTTGGTGACGAAGGCACATCTTCGGAGGTTGACTTTATTGGAGAGGTAAGAAATTAAATAAGTTCCAGATGCAAAAACAAACCCACTCCAAACATTATATCTTGAGTACATGGACGATCTGCCTGAATATCCTAGGACAGACCCAAATGGATATTCTTATATTGTTGCTGTTGATGGCCGATCACAAGAGGAGGCAGAAAATTTAGTTCAGGGTGTAAGTACTTTTTAGTGATTTATAACTACTTATTAATCAATTTATAGATCTAATATTCTCGGGCAAGTACTCGTGGAGTAAAAAAGAATATCAACTCAATATTTTTAAATTCCTCTGTAAAGAAATGGACATGGAAATGCTCTGGCGCTTTGATATGTGAATGTCTAAAGCCAAGTCTTCGTACTTTACATCATACTTTTTTAGATGAAGCAACATGGGCGGAAATACAGAATATTCGAAAGAATATTGATCTTGTTGAGAATGATATTCCAAAGCGAAATGCATATAGGTAAGTGCTTTCTAAATACTTATTAAATACTGACTAAGTACTTATAAAACAGTCTTTACCTTTCACAGAAAGCCTTCTTTCAGAAAGGACATGCTTGCCTTGAAACATTGCCTACCTGCTCACCCAGGTTCAAGCGTCATCTCTACCCTGTAAGCAGTTTATAAGTAGATTCTGAGTAGCTACTAATCAGATTAAAGGATGTGAATCGCGGTTATCACCCTTATATTGGATGCGTAAATGCTTCATCCAGCTTTCTATAGAAGCATTACTATTCCTCAGTTAAGGGACATACCTCTATTGATCTTGAGTTTCTGGAATATTATTCAATAAATCTATTGTACCGTCTCAAGAAGAATGTGGTGTCATTAAACCCTTAACAACACGGCGAAAGTATTGTGGTAAGTACTTTACAAACACTTATAAAGCAGTTAAAGAGTACTTATTTTTATAGAATTTTATCATCTCCAAGGACCTGGTAACCTGGAACATAAAAAGTGCAGTGTTATATTTACTGCACTAGTACCAATTAATATTCGAAGCTGTCCCTTTGTGGCTTTTTCATCTCATGGAATTCATCAACATCCACCTCCGCACAAGCCACCAGAGGTAATACTTAAAGGGATTGAAAAGATTATCAGACAGATGAGAAATCCCAGCCTGACATTAAGTATGTATACAAAGTGTTTTATAAGCAGTTTCCAATTACTGTATAACTAGTTATTAACTAATTATTAGCTCAATTCTTGCGGAGTCCAGAGCTTGAGACATTTTGCCGGCAATATAATACGTCAACACCTGCTGAAATTCATGTCTCATTTTCAAATACTGATCGTATCTCTGCAATTATTCAAAAACAGCGTCTTCTTTCTTATCCAGCTGGCCAAATTTAAATGAGGTGATATATTTATATAACACTGATCCATTTATAAAGGTAAGTTCTTTGCTAACTGCTTAATTACCATTTAATAACTTGTTATAGGATTATATCCAAGAGAAATATCATGACCCTGATGGCATCTTGATTCTATGTGCCTTTAAAGAACAGATTAAGCTTTTGACTACATTAACCTCTTTTGAAGTTGATATGTCCTATAAGCGAATTCGACAAAAGGGAATGAACGAGGTTGTATTTGCAACCTTTTTACCTGATCATGGAAAAAGTAAATACTTAATAATTGCTTGATAAGTACTTATTAACCAATTACTATAGTTATTACGCTCTTTCGGGTTTTCACTGATCAGGAAACAACAGAAGGCTATTATCTTTTATTTAAAAGAGTATTTACTCTTGTAAAAAAGATAACTGGCCAGCCTGTTGAATTTAATCAATATACTGGTATGTAATCAGTTATTGAGCACTTACAAACTACGTATTGACTACTCAGGTCTTGGTCAATATCTTCATGAAATTGACCCGTCTCACCGACCAATACTTTGGCACTTACAAAGAATTATTATATTTTGCCGAGTTCACTTTTTCCGCACAATTACTGAAACAGTTGGAAGCCATATAAAAGTTCAGGTGTATGGAGTCGAATGGCTGGCTTAATTGATTGCAAATCAGAAGATGATTATGACCAACTTTGTAATTTATTAATTGGTAAGTACTTTTGAACTGGTTAATAACTGGTTAATAACTATTTAGAACATGAAAATGAAAAGGTCCTGGTATGGGCAAAACATAAAAAGACTCCTGTTCTTAAAGCTGGGCTTAATAGAAATTGTTCCAACATCCCAGTTTTTATTTATGATTCTATTCGGAACCATACCAACTCAGCTGAGCAGTCACATCATAAGGCTAATGCAGCAGGAAGGCGATTAACACTAACAACAGCAATACAAAAGCAAGTACTTTCTAGGCATTTAACAATTGATTAAGGAATAGTCACTAGAACTATTTTCTTAGTTCTGCAAAGCTGGATAAACAAGATATCCTTCAATATATAAATCGCACTCACTTTAATATTCATCATTCATATCGAACATCAAACATGGAGACAAATTATGGAAGACACATGGCCGGTGACGGTAGAATATATGTATCACCTGTGTGTTTATTTTAGCCGCTTTTCAACTGCTTACAAACCACATCAAAACTACCTAGAATCACGGAAACGCCGTCGTTCATCAACATATTATTCGTCAAATTCTGAGCCTGAATTAATACAAAGGAGATCTCAGTCACAGCCTCGAGGTCGAGGCACTAGTCGGTAAGCGTATTTTAAACCACTTTATAAGCGGTTACTAAGTACCTGATTAGCAGTTCAATATCCTCCTCTCACAGCCTTCGTCGGGTTTCTTCACAAAATATATTAAATTTTGAGCAACAACGGCAGAGCTTAGAGCTTCGAGACCTTGAGCTTCAGTTAAAGGAAAAGGAAGAGCGGTTACGAGAGAAACAACTTCAAAATGAGGGAAAAGAGCTAGAGCTTATGGAAAGGCGAGCAAGGTTACAAAATCTTAATCATACAATGCTCTAAATATATAATAATTTAGTGGTTATCAATTGGTTTATAAGTACTTAAAGCCTTATGGAGCTAGGTGATACTAAGAGCGTCATGTATTAGGATATATATGTAACATTGATGTACTCCTACCTCTCTAATCTAAAATATTTGCGCAAAAAGCGCTTTAATGTTGACTTTGAGACGCCTTCGGCCTTCGATGAACCATTGAAAATATATAGCATTTAGCTATAGGACTGAGCTTTTCAAGCCTACGAGAGCGACCGCCTGATCCTGAAGCTTTGCGTTGTTGAAAGCGACCGCGTGTTCGGTAGACAGTGGAGCGCGCAATCTTGAATTTCTGAGGAAGTTTAGTGGCATTTTCCCCCGTCTCTAGGCTTTTAATAGTGCAGAACGTTGCTCAGTAGAAAGATCAGATCGAGGCCTCCTATTTCCACTAATTTCGGTTCCAAAAGACCTCATTTGGTTGAGTGGCGAGCTTTTGAAATTGTTGATGTTTTTGACGCGGTACTCGTCGCGGGTCGGTGGTTGCAATACTTTTGACCCACTATTGTATGTTGGAAGACGGAGCTTATTTTCGAGTGGATGTGTGTTAAATCATAAGTCTCTGAACTACCCGGTACATAGATACTGACTATTGGCGGATGACAAGAAAGAATTAGCAATTGAAATTGAAAGGTACACGATGCAGATTTCTCCTGTACCGAATGACTATCTGGATGATCGCGTCCACTTATGGCGAGCTTTGTGCTTTGCATGCTCAAGCAAGGTTTTCCTGCGGCTGATGTATCGGACATTCCCACCCCGTAACAAAGGTCCACATTGGTGCATATTTGATGATGCTCTTACCTAATGGTTACTCCTTGTGCATACGTATGTTTGCTTCTTCTCAGCTCCCACCTTGATGTTTGTCGAACTGAGGACCTTTGGTGTTTACCTTCCCATCGCTCATGCCTACTGATAATTCTTAGCTAAATCGCCGGGGACACTTATACCTTAGCTTTTGGGCCAAAAAAGCTGGGAATGGCCTTGGAAATAGGACACGCCTCCTAGACCGTCTATTTCATCTGCATGGGCATTTATGCCAATCATTTATCGCCCCACATGTTTCCACAAATCACGAAAATCCCGTAGAGACAAGCTGAACATAAAGCCTGATCTGGAGTCTAGCGAGCATTGGTGAAGGATCTATTGCTTCGTGCAGATTCTAGGTTCTTGGCACCCCCAGGACTCCAATTATTGGCTGGTTCTGGAACGTAAAAGATGCACTGTCTTACCGCCATGTTTACAATGTGCAGAATGCTGGAACTTGTTCAAAGTTTACGAAGCTGCCTCTGCTGATCGGATCTTTCTTCATTGGCTGCCCCTTGCGAATTCTCATTGACACAGTGACAGGGATGCAGTATGTGATGTGGAGCATTGGGGTTGGCGGTAAAGTGGAGTGTGTATATAGAGAGGTCAACCCCAGATTCCCCCTCGTTCGGATGGTTTTTGCTTGCTAGAATTGACTTGCTACTTTCTACCTTTGCTTTGTGAAAAGAAATTGATCTTGTTTAATTTTGTCATGGGAGATAATGGTACGATCCTCGAACCTTGGATGCCTCCCAGGGCACCTCGAGCACTGCCTCCTGGGAAAGGTAATATTTATCCCTTGGGAGAGTCACACGTACGTCGCACTCTTTTTTCCTTTTTTTTTTTTTTTTTT